TTGCAGAGATCTTGCATGATCTTACATGGGCATGTCATTCAGAAAGAGGTCATGTCAAGACTGCAAGGAGATGTCGCACAGAGATCTTGCAGGGAACCTGTGGAAGTCTTACAAAGTCACATTTTGCGGAGGTTCCCAAGATTTGGTGCAGAGATCATGCTGCTACCCCCAAGTATACTTTTGGTGTCTAGAGACCAAAAGAAAGCTTGAATAAATTTGAATAGAGATGTTGGAGTCCCTAATTTCATCCCGCGGAGATTTGGCACATAGTGGGACCATGTTCTTTCCCCTGAGGTTTCCTTGTGGGAGAATCTGACAGTAACATAAAGTAACTCTGCTGGACTCTGCTGGACCAAATTGAAGCACAGTACGAGTCGTACGAGGAGAGCTTTAGTGCATTGACGTAATGAAGATGCCATCGCTGATGATTCAAAGCAGCGATATAAAACCGTATATGCCTGAAATTCAAATCTTCAGAATGAGGCAGACTAGATGCACCAAGAATCTGAACCAAATCTAATCATCGTGCGGCCTCTTGAAGTTTATGGCCAGGTAGTTGCAGTGCCATTTGAACAACTCGTCGAGGAGATTGTGAAAGTTCCAAGGCGTTTTGGGTGGATGGCGCTGTTGGCGGGGTGACTGGTCTCATTGATATTGAAGTCTGATATCAAAATCTTTCAATCAAAGTATCCAAACCTGGAATGGCACGCAATTTATTTCAAATTGATGTCCAGAGAGGGTGCAGTTCTAGAGGCCGATTGAGGCCGATAGAGGCCGATTGAGGTCCTAGACACTTGATTCTGTGGATTCATAATCCTTTTTTGAGAGCTAGATGTACCTGGCTTCAGAACAAAATAAACGAAGAGAGAAGCTACACACCTACACATTTCCAAACATGCGGATATTTGGCTGTTTCTGGTCTCTGTTGATCACACGCCTAGAATCCAGTGGTAGAGTAGATGTTGCCAATGCAGATGTCTTCAAGGCAATCTAGATCCAAAGACCTCTTGATTAGCGCTGAGTGGCACACAAGATGGATGTGGCCCAGCATTTGCAGATCGAAATTGGGGATGTACGATATCCAATTCGCAGCTAACTTTGTATAAGTGTACAAATCCGCTAGAGTTGCTAGAGATGCTACGGCTCCACGCAAATGTGAAGTCTTCGTGACAGACCGCAGGGTCTCCAAGGAGGAACGTGTCCTCCAAAGAGCAGTCACGGGACCCTGTATGGCACAGTCTGATTGCAATCTGGCATGGTGAGTTGATTGAAACGGCCAAACCAATAAGATCAGCTCCTCTAAACGCTTTTGGGCTGTTGCTACAACGCTATATCCGATATTGTGAAGATTTGCAGACATGTACAGCAGTTTCAACATGGCCACTTGTTTCATGCATTGATTCAAGTTTTCTTCCAAGAGTTCATGCCATTTCATCTGACCATGATCCACATACTCAATGGCGCAGCTGATGAAACCTTCCATGGCGGAGAAATGGAAACGCATAGGGCACGACAGTCTGGGGTTGAACTACGCTCTCTCGCGGTCTGCTTGATCTCACTTCAGAGATTGTTAGTGTCTCCGTGTAGTGTTGGTGATCAGGCGTCATCGTTCTCCACCAATGAAGTTGGTCCAGCTCTTTTACTTTTAACTCAGCATACACTTTTTTATGTCCAACTATTGCGCAATACTCTTCATAGAGCTCCTCCCAAGTACTTTTACCAGTTCTCGTTCCTCAAACTTGCTGAGCCACACCGAACCGACCAAATCTCTTGTGTCACCATCCACTCTGGCTTGAAGCCTCTTGTATCCACATCTGCTCCAGGGTCAAAATTGAAAAACCCCCTCCTCAAATTTGGAACATCATCTCTGTCAAGGTCAAACCCGTTTGACCCTGCCTCAGACGATGTTGGCGTCATCTGAGGGTTCTGATGCACAGAACTTGTAAGTGGTCTTCTCCCTGTGACTCTAACGCTGCTCCTTCTGACTGCTCTTCTCGTTCTGGTTGCTTTTCGCTCTGCCGCATGAAATTCGTGCTTCATTGCGTTGAGAATCACCACGCCCATTTCTAACTCCTCAATTCCTCACCGTGGCGAGGAAGTTGTGGTTACTCATCACAGGAAAAGGATAATATGCAGTTCTTACCAGATGGATCTGCTCCTTGACAAAGTCGGCGCGCTCTCGCGTTCGATTGAAGAACTTTACTTTACTACCGCGTACTGAACCATGTCGAATATATATATAGTTCATGTAGTTGAATACCATGTTCTAAGTCCAACCGCTTTCATGAGAGTGAGCATGACTAACTTCCACATTGAAGACGAAGTAGTTGAAACATCCCATGTCCTAGTAGTATATGCCGTGGTCATAGTACTACCATCCAGGTCATAGCTGTACAGGTGGTGCCAGAATTATAGAACGGAGCCAGGAGTACAAAAGTACGGTAAAATACCGTACCTTTGTACTCCTCCGGGTTCCGATTCCGCGCGGAGTCGGGAAATTTAATTATAGAACGGGGATCCGTTCTATAATTAAATTTCCCCGTTCTATAATTAAATTACTCCTGGCTCCGATCTATAATTTCTGGCACTGACATGATATTTACTGCATATTTGTACATATACAATCTATAAAATGAAGATTTAATGAGGATTTAATGAGGATTTGATGAGGAAATGAAGAACAAATGCAGATAAAATGAAGATTTGATGAGGAAACGAGGATAAAATGAGGATAAAATGAGGATAAAATGAAGATAAAATGAGGATTTGATGAGGAAATGATGATAAAATAAAGATAAAATGAAAATAAAATGAGGATTTAATCAGGATTTAATGAGGATTTGATGAGAAAATGAGGATAAAATGAAGATAAAATGAAGATAAAATGAGGATTTGATGAGGAAATGATTATAAAACGCGGATAAAATGAGGATTTAATGGGGATTTGATGCGGAAATGAGGATAAAATGCAGATTTAATGAGGATTTAATGAGGATAGAACGACGAAAAAGGTTAGGAGTAAATTCAGACACGTTTTTTTTCATACCTTCCGAGGAAAACAGAATTATAGAACAACAGGGTACGGTAAATAACCGTACCTTCGTACTCCTCAACTTCCGTTCTATAATTCTGTTTCCCCTCATTTTTCCCACATTTACCAGGTGATTTTCTTAGATTTCATGGTGATTTTCTTAGATTTCATGGTGATTTCAAAGGATTTCTGGGACCCCGGAAGAGGTTCTATAATTCTATAATTAATTTTTCCGTTCTATAATTAATTTTTCCGTTCGACTTTAAAAATTAATTATAGAACGGGGCCCGGGAAACATTAATTATAGAACGAAAATGGGAAATGTGAGAAAAATGGGGGAAAACAGAATTATAGAACAGCAGCGCTCCGACAAGAATTATAGAACGACGAAAAAAGTTAGGAGTAAATTCAGATACGTTTTTTTTTTCACACCTTCCGAGGAAAACAGAATTATAGAACAACAGGGTACGGTAAATAACCGTACCTTCGTACTCCTCAACTTCCGTTCTATAATTCCGGCACCGACCATAGACAGCATCTGTAGAAACGCTGGAATCCGCTAGAAGCCATAGCCACGCTGCTCAAGGCCTTCTCCTCCGTGTTCTTCTCCAGCTGGGCCCCATGCGTCCAAACTTCTGCAACTTCATTGAAACCTACATCTTCATCTCCGTCTCCATCCCGCATGCCCATCAAGCAAAGTAACATCTTCAGTCGGTTCTGCGTCAAAGGATTCGTATCTGCATCCGCAGGGCTCACCTGGGTGTTCATCTAGGAAATCATCACCACAGCCTGCTTTTGTCTTTTGTTGCAACCAAAATAATTTTCCATGTAGGTGACGGATGCTTCCAACTCCCTCACACAGCGCCAAAGACCTGGCGGCCGAGTTGCCACAAAACAACACCATCATGTGTAGCATCCCCTGCCACTTGGCTTGTCGGATTGGTCGGTCTAAGGTCGAGGTTTTGGTGGATGTCCCAGTTCCACAGATCGTTGAAGAGGCCGAAGTGCAAGAAACTGACAGCGAATGGCTAATCTTCTGGGACTTGCGGGTTTAACTTGGGGATGCAATGATACTACATACTACTTGTCCTGGCAGACTTGGAATTGGACATGACAAAAAAACTGTGAAGAAGATATTGACGTACCAGGAAGTTTCAATTTGACAATCGTCTGATATTCAGTCTCGAGCCTGTAATTGTTTGATTTTGCGCTTTGATTTTGCATTGTGTGCTTTCATTTTTTCAGGAACCCTTTTGCTGCGGGTAGGATGACGCTGAAGTGGTGTATGATTCTGTATGATCAAGGTGTTGGGCCACTGTATTTTTATGCTTGGTTGTGTGGGGAGAATGCTGTAGAACGAACTTTGCTCACGCACATAGAAGACACGCGCACACGCGCCGCTCTTTTTTCTTTTTCTGTGAGCCAACAGCGGCTCATGAAATGGAGACACTTGCAGTGTGTATATACACCTTATTTGGTGTTGCAGATTAGAGATGTAAAAGGTCATATATACAGCCGAAAGGCAACAATCACCAATTCCGAACAGACCAAGTTCTGGGACCCAACTTGACTCAACAAAAACTGGCCGCTTCTATGAATGGCAGCAGTACATGAGAAAGGGACGGGAGACCTGCTCTCAGATTTGAACCCGAAACAGTGTGTAGAACAGAGGTGAGACATCGTCCATGCTGATACTTGTTCTGGAACACTATGACCTCTACCATGTCAATAATGCGCCTGAAACTTGTCAGATTGCAAAGCTGCGACGCTAAGCCTTCATAAACCTTCATGGTTTCAGCCTTTCCTACCAAATATAGTGACCAAAGGCTCTGTCACCTAAGGTTGTCACTAGCGTCTCGGAGTCTCATCATGTTTGCTACTTACAGGTGGACAAAATTATGGTCCCAATGGTGAGTCAGGGTAAGTTGTCAATTTTTCGGAAGTTGCTCAGCCATAGCTGAAGTCCATCATGCGTGATGTGCCCGCTGTGCGACTCAACACTGAGAGTGCGGATTCTGCAGCAGCGTCAGAGCGAGATGCAGCTGCAGAGAAAGTGGCGGCTACACTGGCCACCCAAGGCGGGTCGGGCAGAGGGGGGGATCACCAGGGGTCCAAGTGCACAAGATTGGCTTCTACATACTAGACCTATGCTCGAGCATTCATATGCAGAAATACGTTTTGAGAAGATGAACCTGAAGCGGAACCCTAAGCTGGTCCATGTATGTTTAGGTAAACAACACGAAGCAAGCAAAACAGATAGCCAAACACGCACAGACAATACGTGTGCACATGCCTGCCTTTGCGTCAGTATGTGTCCATGTTGATGTTTATGCTAGCGGGGTGAAAACGGGCGAGGTAGCCGTGCTGGTTTCCACAAGACGCAACATGAGAGAATATATATATATATTATATTGGGTGAGCGATGATGGCGGTCATCGGAAGTTGCGCGCAGTGCCAGGGACAGGGTGTGGTGGGGTGGAGTGTACTGATAATGATAACGTTGTTTGGAACTCGCACGCGCGCAGTGGTTGCCAGCCGACAGAGTAGGGAGGCGATCGCAGTGGAACGTGCACACACGTGATGCTATGCTGCAGACATGGTGGGGTGGGGCGGGGTGATGAAAACGTTCAGTGGAACTTGCACAAGCAATTGATTCTGCGCCACAGACAGGGTAGTGTGGGGTGGGGTAATTATAGCGTGCTGTAGATTGAAACTTGCACATGCACTTGATTCTACGCGCCAACAGAGTGGGGTTGGGGGAATTTATGTATTTCTCTATGGTATATGCCGTATATGCCAATGTCTGGTGAAGCCCTGAACAGGAGAGTCAAGACAGCAGTGCTAACAAAGGCGGAAAGGGCCTTGCTTAGCATGGTCGATCTCCGCTCGCTTAACGCGGTGAATGTACACCCGTTTGACGGGTGAGATCTGCGCCTGTCCATTTTTTGGTAGTTACCGTACAATCGTGCAGCATCCTCCTCGACATCATCCTGCTGAACATCACCATTCTCCACATCCTCCAAATCATCCACAGCATGCAAAACATCATCATCACCATCATCACCATCATCACCATCACCACCAATAACCACCACCACCATCATCATCATCATCACCACCATCATCATCATCACCACCACCATCATCATCATCATCATCATCATCCTGCCTCCTCCTGCTCAACATCATCCTTGTTTGCAATTTGTGTTTTTCGCATTTGCACGGCTTCGCGGGGTACGGTATTGCGTTTGTCTTTCGTGCCATTTTGCGTGGCAAGTGCATCATGCCCTAAACTTGATGTTCCGCACTCTACGCTCCACACCGCATACATCCCGTCCCCGCATTGTACACACTGCACTCTACACTCCAGACTCCACACTGTATACCTCACACGCTACACGCCGCACTCAGCACTCCACACCCTGCACTCCACACTTCACTCTACGCGTTACACTCCACGCTCCATACTCTACATCTGCACTATACGCTTTACACTCCAGACGCTCCACTTTGCAGTCTGCACTTTGATCTCCACACACTACACTCCACACTCCACAATTACTCCATATGGTCTCCATACTCTATATTTACACGTTACACTCCACACTCTAGAGTTCACACTCCGCCCTACACTCCCCACTCTACACTCGACACTCCAAGGTCTACAACGACACGGAAGCAGGGGAACAATATACAAGAGTGGTGGAATCACTTATGTCGTTAAATTGTTTTTACGTGATGCTAGACCCCACGCTCTGCGCTAGCCTCCCCACTCTACACCCTACACTACACACTTCACACTCCACGCTTTGCACTCCACACTCTGCACTCTGCACTCTGCACTCCACATTCGACACTCCCCACTCCCTGCACTCTACAGTCTACACTCCACACTCAAGACTCTACACCGTACACTCCACACTCTACACTTTGCACTCCCCACTCCGCACTCTACATTCTACAATTCCCAGGCCCCACTCCCCACTCCACGCACTACCCTCTGCACTCATCCGCACTCTACAGTCTACACTCCATGCTTTACACTCCACACTCTCACCTCACACTCCACACCCTACATGCCCCACTCACTACTCCACACTCTACACTCTAGACTCTGCACTTGACACTCCCACTGCCGTCGAACAGTTTCCACTACACACCCCACACTACACCCTACACTGTGCAGTCCACACTCTGCGCTTCACACTCCACATTCCACACTCTACACTCCACACTTTACACTCCCACTCTGCCTTCTACAGTCTCCACTCCACACCCCACACTCTACACTCCACACTCAGCAGTCTACACACACGCCCCATTTGCTACTCCACACTCCATACTCTACTCGCCACACTTTAGCCTCCCATGCTGCCTTCTACAGTGTCCACTCCACACCCCGCATTCTACAGTCTACACACTGTACACTCCACACTCCGAATTTTAAATTCTAGACGTTACATTGTGCTGTCTCTGATTCGCACTCCACACCCTACACTCCCCACTCTACACTCTAGTTTTCATTCTTTACACTACACTTTACACTACTCTATTCTACACCCCCCACTCTACAGTCCATAATGGCACCTGTTGTAATAAGTTGTTTGTAACAAAAGTGTTTTTCGCGGTGTGCATTCGGGTCCGGCTGTTGGATTGTTTTTTTTTTGAGAAAATCATCAACCGCTAGAGCGGTCATCCCGGCGGGTCGTTTATGCTGTGCTGTGTCATGTAATATGAAAAAATGTTATGGGATGCAATGCAGCAGAGCACAATGCATGGCAATGTCAAACAAATAAATGTATTGAAAATATGTGTATTTATGAGGATACATGATGCATATCTTGACTTTTTGTGCACCAAAAGAACTGGATGTATCGGAAACATTTTGATCCTGAATCACTGACCGTGTCACCCACAGTAGCTCATTGATGCAAAACGTAATAAACAATGTGTTCTGCAGATAAGTGAAAGATGGCCAGTTTTTGTTTGCATGTACTGACATCATAAAATGAAAACACGTTTGTAAGTACCTTGTTCAGTGCATTTTTACGTGATTGTATGGATGCGAAAAACTGTACACTCTTGGTGAGCCAGCGGTGGAGCTTTCAGACAATGGTAGACAACCGACAGAAGGAGAAGGCCTCTAGGAAAAGTGTGATTGTTTGTTCATTTGATGTTTGCTTGATTGCTTGTTTGTTTGTTTGTTGGCTTGCTTGTTTGTTTGTTTTTTGCTTGAACAAATCGTGAACTGATAGATTGAGAGAATCGCTGATACATATGATTACTTAGCTTATGGAGAAGTGATTACTTCATGGAGTGGAAGAGGGACTCCGTGAAGGAATCATGACAGTGCTGGACGAAGATCAAACCAAGTGCTAAATAAATGAAAGACAAAAAACTTGATCGATTGATTGCTTGATTGATTGATTGATTGATTGGCTTGATTGACTGACTGACTGTTTGACTGGTTCAGGGATTGATAGATTGCATGCTTTACGTTTGTTGGATTTGGTGACTGAACGATCAGCGGGTGAGTTGAGCAGATGACTGAATGGGCTCATCACATATACATATGCAAATTGACATATCTATAGATGCAAATGCATGCGACCCATGTTTGCAAAATGTAACTACTTTGTTTTATCTCAGGCTTTTTATTTCCATGCAGATTTCAGCGATTGTCTCCACATATCTTCACATATGTTCAAATTTGCACAAACATCTTATTTGCAACTCTTGTTGTGCGGACAAGAGTCTTTCTGCAATTGCGTTGAGAGTTTGGAAGGTGCTTCGGTAGATAGTTGCCTGAAGATGGGATGTCGAGGATGTGCTTGACTCTGGTACATCATGTCCCCACGGACCCAGCTCAGTGCTGTTTGATTGTTCCTAGTTTGCTAGGCTTTTGCCTGGTTGACTGTGGCTTCAAGGACAAGAAAAAGGCGGTCGGGTTGGTTGCTGTCAGTAGTGCTTGTTTCTTGCCTTGGTATGCTATATTATTCAACTGTGGAAGTGTTGTTTGACGCCGCAGATCTAGATCAGGTTTCACTGGGGTTTGGGATGCCATGCTGGCTTTTATACTCTGTTTGTCTGCATCAACTAACTTGGGCTGGCAGCAAGGCGCTACTGTCACAAGCTCGAAACGACTCGCAAGAGATGGACCATTGGTTCTATCGACCAGAGGAGCCTGTTGGTTTGTTATACGTTTCTATTAAATCTAGTCTTCCAAATGTAAGACACGCGAGAAGCAGAGCGGCAAACAGACAAGACAAACATAGAAGCCGAACACGTTTCCATGTTTTGAAGTAAGCATGTTCACTCCTCAATGCATGTGTCATGAAGTTCTAATTTACACGGGCGGGACAGGAAAGAAAACAAGATAAAGCATAGCTACATAGCTATTTCAAGAATGATAAGAATGTTTTGTACCATACGGACAAGTACGTTGCTCTTTACCCCCCTTACTCTGTTACGGCTCTGCGCAGCTCCTTGAACATACAATTTGATTCAATGTAGCAGCTGTATGCAGCTGTAGCAATTGCAAGGAATCTCTTTAGTCTCAGAAATCCCCAGCGGTCCAGGCTTGTTTCACATATTTTGATGAGCAACGTACCATGGGAACGCAAAGACTCAGCAACAAACTCCAAGATAGAATGCGATATTATTGTCAATCGTTACTTTTGAGCAAAGTTCCACGCATCAAAAGTGCGACAGGCACGGTGAGGTTCAATTCCTGTCACACTCATCATGGTCAATCATGATCAATCATGATTGATCATGATCCACAGATGCTCAGAAAGATCAATAATTGCAATGCATGCGTTCACATCCTGCGGTTTTGGCCATCTGTTGCCTCTGAAAGTTATTGCAACACTGGGATGGGCCAAGATGCTTCAGTAGCCTATCGCAACAGCCAGTAGATCAAAGACCTGGCTTGTAGCTTGCGGGTGTTGATTCGGGACCTGTGACTGCTGCTAAGGCATGCTATATAATTGATTATAATTGAATGTACTTGGAGTGGCAGCATGGTGATAGCTCGCGTGCATTTCGCAGGAGCTGATCTTCACAGGCTTGTTTGGAGATGAAGGCTCTGCACGAATCTGTCCATTGAATTCTCCAGAAGATCTGAAAGAAGGCGTGGTCCACTGCCACGGCGCAGTTGCTCAATGACAGTACAGCTCAACTACACTATCTAGATCCATCTACTATAGTCAACTACACTAGGACCTTGGTGGAGATTTGTTTCGCAGCCAGGTTGAATGGACATGGTTCCTTGGTGTTCCTTGTAAATACCGTGAGGTTCAGCAGTTCGACATGAGAGCCACAGTGGCCATTGATCATGCTTCGGCGGAGAATATTTTTCTTCTGCACTGAACGTATACAATCACCTACATCCTCAAGAGTAGATTTTACTGAAAAGACTGTTAGACATAGCAAGAATTGCACCTCGTTTTGAGCATGAATATTTCATTGCAGGTCTCAAAGCTTTGGACCAGGAGATCACGGACCTAGCTCAGGCAAAAACTGGGGCCATGTTCAATCTCAAGGGGTTGAGAGCTGTTGAAAATTGTCCCAGAAGCTTCCGTTGCTTCCAGCTACTAGTATAGTTGGCAGTAGTTTTCCCGGATGATTCTGGAATATGACTATGACGATGGACCACTCCTGATCGTGGCCAAGAATCCAGCATTGAATTAGCAAGTCACGCATGTACTAGAGAAACAAAGGCGGGGATGAAATAAGCTACAAGAATGTGAACTATTTGTCCAACATGAGCTTGTACAATGATATCACATTTGCAGAACCGTTTGACTTTGAAGATGTGGCGATTTGGCAATATCGACGATTCAAAGAGTCATATCGAAGGCCGTCACAGTCCAGATCTCTGGGAGGCGACAGCTCCTTTCTTGTCCTTTAAGTTGGGCCTGCACATAGCCTCCCGTGCCCGTGTTGCTTAGTTGCGCTAACCGCTAACGGATGTCTTTGTTATTATTGGCTTTGGTATATACTACATGCATACTTCTACTGTATTTGGATGTATTTAGTATAGGTACTGTACATAGTGATATACAAAGTATAGATATACACATGTAGATATACTGTAGATTCTATATATATATATTATCATTCCTAAAGTCTTGCATTTGCAAAGGAGAGTTGCCTGGAGCTTCCGATTCGAGAAAAAGAGTTGAAAGAGTTGACTCAATAATATATATATACATATGTATATACAAGAGTCGCTCAGTGAACCGCTGAATAGAATCAAAGCCTGATTCCTCACTGTTGGAAAAGCAGTCAAAGCATTTGAGGCACCACAATTACTGCAGTGTAAATAATGCCATTTGTTGCTTTGGCGGTTTATGGTGTCCTTCATTTAGGCCCTGCACTGTACATTTGATCTGACATATCAGCATGTTCCTTAAGATTACACTTATTGTTTGAAAGTTCGCATGCTAACTTTCTGGGGTGTGTCAAAGTCAATGATACTGGATCTCTGACAGGGTCTAGATACTTGTTAGGAAGGCCAACAAAATTTCAGAAGGCATACATACCTCAGAGTGACACCTATAACCAGAAGTGTGCCAGAGTGATTGAATCAGATCGTTTTTGCTCAACACCTGACTTTCATCCAGTTTTGAAGCGCCCGTCGACTGCCACCCTTGGCAGCTGTCTGCACCGGTTCCCAACTGTCTGCATGGTTGGGAAGTGAACACAGCGTAAGCCTTTTGCAGGAACAATCGCATGACACATGACACAAAATAAGCTAGCACCTTAAAAGCCTTAAAAATTACAGTAGACAAGGCGATACTTTTTTCATCAGAGACATGGAGAGTCACTGCAGAACGAAAAACGCAGAACATCGCAGAACAAAAGATTATACCTCTGTGATCCTCGTACCTATCCATGGTACAGCGCATCTGACAGTGGGACCGAAGATCCTTTCTGCACCCGTGGAACCAAATGTGTTCGGGATCATTTTGCTTGGAACATACGATGGGGTTAGGGTGGGTATGAGGTGCTGTTGGAGCAGGGTTGGCAGGGTGATATCGCCAAACTGAATTTGCGTGTATGTGCACCGTGCTGCTGCTTACCAGGCAGGGTTGGGTAATGATAAGATTTACTTGAATTCGCAGACGCAGTGGATGCTGTGCAAGCAATGGGATGGGTGTGGATCTTAGGTACACTTACTGATCAATGCATGGGCCTTGAGACAAAGTGCATTTCTGGTGCTCCGGGCAGATTCAAGAACTCTGTTGATAAAGCAGTGGAGAACCACGTCACGGTAATTGGGGACCGGTGGAAGCGATGTTTTTTCAGCCTCCGCACGCACCGTTTCCCCCTATAGATCCGACTAGAAATACGATTGCGAAGGTTACCCAACATGATCCGGTCACTCGTTGTGAACAAGCCATGCATCACTTTCAGCAAGTACATAGAATGTTTTTTTTCCTCGAAGGCGCTAAGCTTCTGGAGCCCAGATAAAGTTTCGCTGCGGCTTCCAGTGCCAGGGGGTTTCCCGGAGGTTGCCAGAGGTTCCAAAGGGTGTTTGTGGGGCACCCTGATGCTTGACACTTAGGGCGAGAAAAAGGGTCCACAAAAAAGCGAACTATATAAAAGGATTCTTATGATAGAGTCTTTCTTGGCCTTGTTTGTAACTTTAAAAGCTTCAGGGTGTAAAGTGTAAATGTCTCAAATGTAAGCCTGGAAGGGGTTTGCAAGGGGGGGCAGCCTGACGCTGGGCTTTGCATAGTGATTGACCAAGAGCATGCATAGTGCTTGACATACACATACAATGTGTTTTTCAAGCAGTATTACACAACATTTGGCAGAGTTGCTTGAAAATATTCTCCAAAACCTTGTCTGTGCTTTGTTGCGCAACTTTGATGTAATGTTTTCATTGGCATTTGGCGTCTTTTTGCATCTTGCTTGAGCCATGGTGCAGCCTGATACAGTACACAGATAAACTATGATAAACCATACTGTCACAAAAAACTCAAAAAACTTACGCTTGCTCCAGCCTTGCTCCAGCGAATCGCCTTTTTGATGCCGCTTTCAATTTTACCATGAATGGTGCTGCCTTGGTGCGCTGGGTCTGTCTGTCTATCTGTTCCTTTCGACATAAGATATCAGGTTCCTCTTAAAGTCTTTGGCCGGACCTGCCATTCCCACAAGGCAGTTCTTCATGAAACCGGTCCACTCGAAGGGGTCATTGAAAGGATGACAGAAGACGAGGCGCCAAATGTTGGTGCAAGTGATGGACATGCTGAGACCGTCAGAGCACTCCTGGATCATATTTGCAGCAAGAAGCGTCGGTGGCAACTGGCTTAAGAAGTGATTGACCTAAACTCAGTCAATGATCAAGGACTTGATTCACCAGAGAGTTCTGAAAGTAGCGAACTATCTTTGCGCATGTGATGCCATGGGCTGGTGAGGCCTACGCATGGCTTCTAGATTTTCGTTTTGGCCGAGTGACTTGTCAGACTTGTCTATAATTGTGAACAGATGTGAACAGTAAATGAGGCAATGAGGTCAGAACCACAAGATCCTGTTTCCAATTGCCAAGTGTTGGTACACATTGCCTTCGATGAGAGTAGGATTCAGCCTTTGCCAAATTCGATTGCATAGTGGCCTGCATATAGCCAAGGATAGGTGGAGATTAGCGAAAGTGGCAGTGAGACTAGATTAGATCGGGTTTCATTTGATTGGGAGTATTCAGTGCGTGCCTGCATTCCAGGACAATGGGAAATACATAAGGGACTGGTGTTTGCGGGCCCAGTGTGGTTTGTGTGATCCTGACGCAATACCAACGAGCAAATGGGCCAACGACACAGCAATTGCTTAATGATCAGGTGACTGCATCGACTGCCTGCTTGGAGTTTGTTCTTTTGGACCATGGTCTTTGCAACTATGCGTTTTTTTCCCCAGATAGCTTCAGCTACAGGGGTTCTCGCTTGTTAATGAATCGTTCGCTCTTTGCCTGAAATAAGCGTCCTCTCAAACTTGACCTGTCTTGTCTCCCTGCGTGATTTCTGTTTTGGGATGTTGCGAAAGGGTTCACTATCATCACCATCATCACATCAATATCATTACTGTCATGATTGTCATTACTATCATTACTCATTACTATGATTACTATACCATCTTTGCTATCATTAGTATCATTAGAATCATTACCATATCATGACTATGTCATTGCTATATCATTACTATATCATGATTTTGGTCATTACTCTATCCTTACTCTATCCTTACTATATCATTACTATATCATTACTGTATCATTACTATATCCTTATTGTATCATTACTATGTCATTACTATATCATTACTATACCATGCCTAAATCATTCCTATATCATTACTATGTCATTACTATGTCATTACTATTATCATTGCTCTGATCATTACTCTTACCATTTCTCTGATCATTACTCTTGTCATTTCTCTGACCACTGGTATTATTATTACTTTGGTCATTACTACTATCCTTATCTATTACTATCATGACTATTGTCGTTACTATGATCATTACTATGATCATTGCTATTATCATCACGTTTATCATATTGATTACTACTTCATATCACTACTAGTATCATTGCTACTATCACTACTATCACAACTACTATCACAACTATCATCACTACTACTATTGTCATCATCCTCAACATCATCATCGCATTTTAATCGCATCAGCACGATCGCACGGAAAATCATGATTTTCAAGAACATCACAACCGATGCATCTACAACTTCAATCGACAGATTCTTCCTGCATACATCTATAATTAATTCAAGGCTAATAACATAACATGGATACATTTTCAATCTACAGCAACTGCATGCGTGAAGATGCAGTCGTAAAAGGTACCTGCAGCTTTACATATGCAGGTGTATAAATGCACTTGTCGAGGACGCCTGCAACTTTAAATATGCAGGTGTATATATGCAGCTGTTTAAGACCACTATATACAAATTTGCATATGCAGGCGTATAGATGTGGGTGTATATATGCAGGTGCGTAGATGCAGCTGCAAAGATCTTCTTGACCCCTACACGTATCAAGCCTTCTAAATTCTTCTCTTAAGGTGGCAGCGCAGCGCATATCGATGTTTACGAAGTGCAACCTTCTTGGACGAAATTTACGTCGATCGCGTGAAACTGTAGTAAAACGTAGTTTTTTTTTTTTGTGTTGCGCACAAGACTCTCACACTAAATGCATGTTGACTGCGCTGTAGGAGAACACAGATTTTGGGCAGGCAGGGTTCTAATTTTGATGATTGTGTGTGCCTAGAAATATCGGGAAGCGTTGCAAAGTAACATCGGCAAATAAACATCTCTCGGGTGACGGGTGCATTGTTCAGGAGCATTGCCGAAAGGCAGAATTCTTTTCCAAGAGCATTCCACCCGGGCTTTGTGAAGTAACATTGCCAGAGTTTTTGAGTGGCAGGAACATCTGGAATTGACATCACCGTGTTGCATTTCTAAATAGTGTTGCTGGCACGTTGCCGAGTTTGCCAAGAACATCCGAATTTATAATTTTGCCTTCTATTTGTCTTCCACATTCACTGTGCTTGCTTTCAGTTTAATTTGGAATCGCAGGGTCAGAAGAAAACCAAAAAGAGCAAGAACAAACAAACAAACTCAAACAAACAATACTACCAGTTACCAACAAAAAGACAAAACCACAAAGACAATGGTTTGGGACCACTTGGCTCTAGCATGCCAAAGCTATGTTTTCCTTTCGTCTTGTTTGTTTTTGCACGTTTTGATCCATACAGTAGCATCATTCCTGAATGCAAAATCGAAGTCTGATTCGTCTTGCCTGTAAGGCAGTACCTGTTTATCAAATGCATCTTTCACAAGCCACGTCTCTACTTTTCTAGCTCAAAAGAACATATGTGCAGTAGTCCTGGGGACGCGCAGTTTTCTTTTTTTAAGGAGTGAAACGTCTGGCGACGTGCATGTTACTTTTCGAGGAATGAAGCCTGTCCTTCAAAGAAATGGTTTGTTTTATTTTCCACATAGAGGACAGCGGAGCTTCTTTGAAGGGAGTGTTCCATCTTCAAAAGATGCAGTTGATATCACTTGATATTCTGCAACACTACTGTTTCTGTTGTTGAAAAAGACAGTAGCTTTAAGTGAAGTATTCTGCTTTGAAGGGACATGCATTTTTCCGAGGAATGTTGCCATCAAAAACAATCGAAGACAGGAATGCTGTACTTGAACACACAATGCATATTGAAGAGGACGAGTGTATTTTTTTGGGGAGGGTTTCAGCCCTAACAAGGAGAGCTCTTCTGCAAGAAAATTCTGCAACCATCAGCTTACAAGCGAAGTAGCTTTTTTTGACGGAACGGGCTGCCACATATTTGAAAAGCAGACTGTACTTCTTTGACGGTTCTGATTTTTTCACAGGATTGCTTGCTGGGAATGTGGTTCATTCAGCAATACATGCTCTTCCACTGTTAATTGAAATATAGCTTCAAAAGGGTGACAGAGCACGAAAGGTAGCTCCAGTGGGGCTACCTTGAGTTTTACTTCACGAAGTAAAGGGAGGGTGGCCAGCCCCGTTGCCTGATTATTCAGGAGATTGTATATTTTGGGACTCCAGCCCGACCCCCCTCCGGCCCCCCACGAACCCTAAAAGCAGCCCCAAAACATTGTATATAATTTACAAGGGTTTTGTGACTTTTGGAACATGATAAAAAATGCGTAAATACCAGTGTTTTTGCTAGGTGCCGTCCAAATTAAAAAAACAGTGTAAATACCGTGCTTTTTGCTACCAAGGACAGAAAACATCGTAAAGATCGTGTTTTTTGGGCTGTGAGGCGCCAAAACATTGAAATTTACAACAGTAATTTGTCCCGAAGGCCTTGTGTGGCCCTGCGCGCATCACCGCCATCATCAACAACGGTAACGGTAACGACAGCTTGCATTTGAGCTTGTTTTTTTTTTGTTTCATGTTTTTTATTTGCGATTCTGCTGTGGTGACGCATTTGGCACCGATACGCTTCTACAGGTACGCACAGAAGCCTTTACACAGAGCAGCTTTTATGCGCAGATACTCTTACACAGAGAGGTTTGTGCACAGAGAAGCTTTTACAGAAGTTTTTACACACCGATACTTTGCACAAAGATGCTTTTGCGCGCATGAATAAAAGCACGCAGGCGCTTTTACACACACAGAACTTTTTCACAGAGAAGCCTTTGCACAGAACAACTTTTACACAAAGCTTTGACACAGAGAAACTTGTACACACAGACCGCGCAAAGAAGTTTTTACACACCGAAGCTTTTACACGCAGAAACTTTAGCAGCTTTTACACATTTTCCGCACAGAAGCTTTTATGCACAGAAGTTTTTACGCAAAGCAGTTTTTACACACAGATGCTTTTACACAGAGAAACTTTTCCGCACAGAAGCCTTTACGCACAGAAGTTTTTACTCATTTAAGTTTTTACGCAGACGCTTTTACACACATGACTTTACACAGAAAAAGTTTTTTGACACACAGAAGCTTGTGCACACAGCATGCTTTTACACACAGCCAGCTTTTACACAGAGAGGCTTTGCTTCCCCTTCTTGATCACCTACCTTTCGTGTTCCCCCTCTCAAGTTGCACTATGGAAAAGAGTTGGTGTGATACCAGCTGGCTACAAACAACCTATTAGCATCAGGTTGTTTGGTGGGCTTTTGCTAGTTCAGTACGATGGCACTATATCAAGGGTAGCCGTTCTTTTAAACGTGTCAACAACCTGTTGAGCAAACAGGGACCTGCTTTCATGTTGTGACTAGCAGTTTTTGTAGATGAAATAAAGTGGTGGTTTCAAAGATGATTCACTTCTTTCAGACCAGTCTATTTCCAACAGTCATGATTTTTGCCGCACAAGAGGAAGGATTGATATTTTCCTGGGAACTGCGTAGCCAATCTTGCATTTTTTGCCAAGAATATTATACATAGATAGAATTTGAATGAATTTGAAGCGGCTATGTATTTTGTTTTCTCTTTTAAGGCGTGTTTTCTCCTTGAAATTTGCATCTTTTTGAGCCCAATCAATACCAATCATTGTTCTGGAGGAGTGCATGCAGTGCATTCTGCAGGTGACAGTGTGTTAATTCTCAGGGTCATGTTCCTCTTTTTCAAAATCGAATCGCATTATGCCCATCGCCTTGCTTTGTTTTCAAGGGATACCCGAGAAAAAAGCATTAATATCATCATTAAAAAAAAATCGCGCCCACAATTAGCCCCTCCTGTTTTCTCGTGGATTGCCATGGGTTCTCAGCATTCTGCAGACCTTTTGGGTGCTTTGGCAGCAGCATCTCAGAGTCAAGGTTGTGACTGGCTACGACGGAGGCCTACTGATGAGCTCCGACAGCTTTGCCGTGTTGCTGGCCTTCCCATTCCTGCATTTCCCTCGCCCGATGTTTTTTTCCTGTTCTGTACAATGTGGCATTCGCGTTTTCCTAGCAGGGCGTACGTGCAGTTATGCGCTTTTTCACGACGGTGTGCTTTCGTTGTGGGGTGAGGTGGGGCGGGGCTGCCACGTTCATGTCACTGTGCACAGGCAATGAGTCATACTGTGCACACGCAATGGATCATACGTTACAAGTGTCTCCCGCTAGAGATGTTGTATATAATGTGTATATATATATATAAATATGTTACGTCATGGGCTTGGTCGGGTGGGGTGGGGTAGTAACGTTCATGTTAACTTGAACACGCAGTGGATCCTACGCTACAGCAGCTCCTTTGACATGATCACGAAAGCTACCTTCTGCTAGCTGAAGTCCCTCTTGCTCTAGCACGGTACAGGGAAGTGCTAAAGTCGTCTCGTTTTGTATTGTTTTCAAGAAATCAGCTTCGCAACAGTGTCTTGCAGAAGTCGTCTCTTTTTGGCTTCCCGCAAACTGAATGCAGGATTTGTGATGCTGTATTGGGGGGGTGGAACTTCCAATTGAAACTTCATACTGAACTACCCCCTCTCCCCCCAGCTGGCTGGTTCACAAGCAGTTTGGCCGTGGCTCAATCCACCCGGGGACACTGTCGGCATGTCGCCACCGGCAGCAAATTCGGCAGCATCCGTATGCTCAGCATGATTGTGTTTACATTCCAGCTCCCTGCCAAGCTAGCTTTCGTCCCTTCATGCTTGGCCTCAAGTGCCAACCACTTTACACGCTCAAGCCCGTTCGCCAACTTGCCTGTAAAATGCAACAATCTATATATGAAAGTCACCTTGCAAATCCGCGGGAATTTCAAGCCCGCCCATATCTTAACATGAAATTGCTACGCCGCTGTAGTGCCATATTATTTCTTCTCAAGAATTGTGCAGCCGCCAGCACAGAAGGCACCCCCGGGGCGTTTTCTTGGTTTGTGGCCAAAGTACTGTCGGGAAATATGATGGTTCCGTTGGTGGAACTGCTTGCGCTTATGTTGTGTGGCATTGACGTTCTTTATGGTTCAGAAAGTCTCACACCATTTATATAGTGGGTGTAAACGAGTAAGGCTGGTTTTGTGCCGCGTGCAACTCTTGATCCGGAGGCTTGCTGCTCTGTGATTGGTGCATCAATGTCTGCCGCAAGAGCTGCGCACCAGAGTTTGCAAACTTGTCGGGCACCACACCTTGAACATCACACACCCACTGTCATCGTCATCATCAATCATCAATCATCAATCATCATCATCATCATCATCATCAGCATCAGCATCAGCATCATCATCATCATCATCACCATCACCATCACCATCACCATCACCATCATCATCATCATCATCAAAATCATCATCATCATCATCATCATCATCATCATCATCATCATCATCATCATCATCATCATCATCATCATCATCATCATTCATCACCATCATTATTCATCACCATCATTATTCATCACCATCATCATCATCATCACCACCATCACCATCACCACCACCATCACCATCACCATCATCATCATCATCACCATCACCATCACCATCAGCATCATCATCATCATCACCATCATCATCATCATCATCATCATCATCATCATCATCATCATCATCATCAAAATCATCATCATCATCATCATCATCATCATCATCATTCATCACCATCATTATTCATCACCATCACCATCATCATCATCATCATCGTCATCGTCATCGTCATCATCATCAGCATCAGCATCATCACCATCGTCATCATGATCATCATGATCATGTCATTGTCATCATCGTTATCCTCATCATCGTGACCATGGTCACCATCGTCATTATCATCATCATTGTCATCATCGGCATCCTCATTGTGGTCACAATCGTCATCGTCATTGCATCGTCATCATTTTATTGTAAAACATATGATCCTTTGGACGGAACCTTTCGCGCGTGTGATTTTTGGGAGGAACGTTTTTTCCCAAACAGTGTGTCCACACTGACGGGTTCTTACGGTAAGTGTAAAGGCCGGTAGTTGATCAGGGTGCTCACCCTGGGCTGCTGCATTTTACCTGTAAATTTCCGTATAAAGTGGCTCTTGTGAAATCTTGACATGCGTTTCGACTGCGCAGGCTCGCACAAAGTCTGCAGCGCGGTTTTGGCCTGCGGCATTTTACTCCCTAAAAGAGAAATGGGGTCCAGAACATTTACCTGTAAATTTCCGTAAAAAGTGGCTCTTGTAAAATCTTGACATGCGTTTCGACTGCCCAGGCTCGCGCAAAGTGTTCGTCCCGGTTCTGGGCTCAATTTGGTCTGCGGCATTTTACCTGTAAATTTCCGTAAAAAGTGGGTGTTGTGAAATCTTGACATGCGTTTCGACGGCGCAGGCTCGCACAAAGTCTGCGGCGCAGTTTTGGTCTGCAGCACTTTTCTTGTAAATTTCCGTATCAAGTGGCTCTTGTGAAAGCTTGACATGCGTTTCGACTGTGCAGGCTCGCACAAAGTATGGTCCTAGGTTCTGTGCCGATCATGGTCATTCTCACCATCACCTCCATCATCATCATCATCACCACCATCATCATCACCATCATCCCATGATCATCATCATCATCATCATTATCCTCACCTCACCTCACCATCATCCTCATCCTCCTCCTCCTCCTCATCATCATCATCATCATCGTCACCGTCATCACCATCATTGTCATCACCATCATCATCATGTGTCCTCCTAAGCGTCATCATCTTTCTCCTCCTCTACATCATTATCCCATTATCCTCCATCTTCTTATCCTCCACTTCATCTTCCGCATTATCAATATCAAAATCATAATAATAATAATCATCATCATCGTCCACATTATCATACATTATCTTCCCACTCCCCCGCACTGTTTGGGGTCTGTTGCCGGGATAATTTTGTTTGCTTCCTGGTTTTGAAATGATTCTCGTGTTTAATTTGTTGCTGCAATCTAGGGTGAGCAAGCGGCTCCCGTGTTTACAAGGAACCTCTTGCATGTGTTGTCTTTGTTCAAGGGCAGGAATTGACCTTGTGTTATCAGCATTTGTTTGGCTTTGTATCCGCGAAGTCCGACAGTTGAAACGCCAGTACCATGTGATATCAGGTTTAAGAAAATAAAATCAATGCATCGTGCCCACGTTCAGATTATAAACTTCATGATTTTACAGCCTTCTCATGATTGATCATCCGGACATTGCGTGGCGTATTTTTCTCTCGACTTTTTTTTGGATATGCATAACTGCACAACGTTTGCCACTGTAGTGCAATCAGCACAATCCTCCCTGCCGCTTTGATCATCCCGATTTTTTCGGTCTCACTGGACTGAAAACTGCTTCAGACCAGAAACAACAGACCGAGGTGATGTGCATCATATGCGTCGGTCCAGGCTATGGTGACTTTCAGTTGGAGGCACATGAGCCTTCAGGTGAGCCGGGTGAGCCTTCGCCACCCATGAAGCCTCTCAAGGTGGCCTCCTCCCCTGGCACGGCCCGGATACCCAAGAAACGAAAAATCGAATACAGCCGATGTCAATAGTGCCTCACTGGGTGGCTCCAAAGTCAAAATATTTCATCGCTCTTCAATATTGGACACATTTGAAACCTTTGAAGCAAAACAATACGCCAATCATTTTTTGTCTCCCTCTGTATCTCTATGTCTTTCTCTTTTTGATTCGTCTCATATCACCATTCGTAGAGCAGTGGCGTTTTATCAAGGCGAGTACCCGTTGTGGTGTTGATGAGTCATTCTTCGCCTCAAGGCTTGTCGTCTCTTGTTAAACTTGCTGGCTCCAAAAGCTTTGGTTGCTGCAATGTTGCCAGTTGCGGAGTGATTGGTTCTTCTGGTATGTGTATGATGAGTCCCCTGACTACTGATGCTGATGAGGTGCTTTTGGTTCGCTCAGACAAACTCAAAATTCGGCACTTATGTCGAAAGCGCTGCTTCTTATTGAGCAGCTTGGCATGGAACCGGTAACCAAGATACAAAAAACATCAAAAAACATCAAGAAACACCAGTTCCGCTCGAAACAGAATGCAGATGGCATGATGTTGTTGCCTGTAAGAAGGCCTGATTATGCTCCCAGATTGTGAGCTGTCGGTGATGCGGTTTTGCATGCCATCTTCAAGTTTGCAAGCACAATCAATGCTTAATTTCAGCGCAAATCTACCCTCCCCGCTGTGGACTTCTTCTGTGCAGCAGCATAACCAATGAAAAGAAACTGACTATCATCATGTATACCTTACACCTAAGCATTTGCGATTGTTCTCCCAGCCCACTTGGACTGATAGTCTTTGTGCTCTTCAGTCTTTGCATTTCCCCACCGCGGAACAAGCATGGAGGCTGCAACTTTCAAGCTTCTGCAGCAACGAATATGCGGCTGCCAGCCAACCCTTGTGCAGAAAGATTGCAGGCACCCGCGGACATCTGGGGCATTGGCATTTTTGGCATTGTCCGGATTTGAATTTTTGGTGTGGGCAAACTGGTTTGCGTTGTGTTTTTTTCTTAAATGAGACGTCATTTATGGAATACTCTTCGGTCTGTGATTCATAGATTCCCAGTTCTCGCTGGAAAACAGATACTCACGGTCCATTGGTAGAAGATGGTGAAGTGTAGAGTACAAAGAGTATTAAGAACCATTTGAACAGCTATGCTCTCAATGCAGCATTCAGTATGACTTGGCAGGAGTTGCAAGAGTTTGATGTCGATACAGGATGCAACTATGTTGCATGCACATGATCACGCTCAGCATTCATGTTCGGAATCGACATTTTTCTGACGCTCTCCTTGACAAGGAATGGTTGGACGCCCGCCTACGCCACCTCAAGAATGCTGCGTCTTAGCCAAAGCATGTATGGGTGGGCGTTTGAATGAATGTGATGATTACACATGTAGATAACCAGCCTCCTTTGACTTTCTAGTGGATTGTGGGTTTGTATGCCTCGCAGCCTGTTTTTTCAAGCCTTTGGAGGGCCTTGGCAACATTTTCACTCGCAATGGTGGGGTCAGACTTATTTCACTTTGTACCAGAATGGGTGTTTGTTTGGCCGCTCCATTTGTGTTTTCCCTGTTATGATGCTGCAATCCCCTTTATCATCTTAAAACAAACAACCCTCCTCTGGAGGTTGCAAGAAAGGATTTATTCGGAGGTTGAAGCGCATGCAGCTGCTACCAAATTCTAGTTCACAAAAGATGCACTCCTGGAACTTTTGTTACAACCAGAAACTGCGACAGTGAGGAGACAGATGGCCGTCGTGCAGATTTGCCGCGACATCTGCGTTTGACGATGAATCGCCAAGGTTTCAAAGGGCAGTATATGGCTGCAAGAGGCAGGATAACCGGGAGAAGTGGGGGACGAGTGGGACGAGTGATCAACGGTGATCACTCAAGTGATGAAATGCTGGTATTTGTCTGTTAAGAGTACCTCTTGAGTCTTGGGCAAACTGAGCAGGTTTGTTTTCCAATCTTTTGCTTTGAACCACCGCGTCAAAGGCATTTCAAAGGCTATCACTACCGGCTTTGGCTTTTGATTTCTGTGTCCAGAGATGTTCAGAGGCTCTTCACAAGCTTCACTCTTCCTTTTGCTAGGCATGGCAAGCCGGGTGGCTCCATGTTGGGGTCCTGAGACCTTCTGGTGCGGTGCCTTGTCAATTTGGTATGGTGCACTGCGAATGGACTTGCAAGGGTGTTTAGGGGACATCTCAAGGTCTTCGCAGATCTCCACAACTGGTTGATACTTCAGTGTGAAGATGGCACATGAGAAGAAACCTGACACCTGACTGTGGTCCCTGTGACTCAAAACTGGAGATCGTTCAAGGTGCTGCGTCTGGGTTGGATACCATGTTGGAGGTGCCACTAATGCGGTGGTTTGGCTGCAGTTTCAACTTCATCTGAAAATTGAGCATTGTTGATTGACAAACATCCCATTCACGAGAATTTTCAGCTGTTCATGTAGCACAAGCAGATTGGCAGATTGGTATCGACCAAACATACTGTATCATTTTTTCATGTTTTTTCTAGAAAGGCTGGCAGCTTGTTTAGCCTCTTGGTCATCCATTAGCTGAATTAGCTGAGGTGGGATCATGAAAAAGTCTATGACTCTGATGAGAATGGTTGGAGACTCTACAAAACCTTTTCCAGGACGGGACGATCACATGGGGAGGTTATAAAAGTGGCCAAGTGGCCTGCTGTAGCAGTTTTACCTGTGATTCAAAGCGGATCTTGAAGGAGGCACTAGTCTAAGTGTAGGCACAAAGTCAATTGAACTTGATGCTCGAACCATTTTGAACGAATATTGAATATCATATATCCACTCGGACCACATTTTCGAATTGAGGCTTAGTCTATCTACAGACCTGACTACTCTGTCTTGGGTGATAGATACAGCAAGGGCTTTTGCACCCAGCCTAAAACCAACCCGCTGATATATAAGCAATGTGAATTTACAAGGCAATAGATTCAGATATAGATTCAGATTGTTCACTCTGAAGTGGTCTGGGTTGGGCACCCAATGGAACCACTCGGTGGCAAGATGTTGCAAGCAATCAATAGATAAAATAGATTCAAATAGCTCTATAATGACAACTTTTGAATTAAGAATGCCATATTTTCAACAAGGCGAAGGACCCGGCCGACCACGGGACAACTTGGCAAATCATGCTTGAGACATCTTGAGAAACAAAGTGAGACGAAGAGACAAAGATGCTTGCTTGACCTTCCTTTGGAGGCACTTGTCAGTCGTTGAGGGTGCTGATCTCTTTGACAACAAGATGTGCCATCCTCGGAAACAGTTTGAACCACTGAGCCTCACTGAGCCATTGTTCAGTAAAAGACTTTCGGACTTTGCGACTACTTGCGAGCTGCTAGCTTGATTGCTATATTGACCGGATCTGGGATTGGACTATACTTACTCGATATGAACACAATATGATATGTTCGGATCCTTGTAAAATCTGCTTTGAGCGCCCGAATTTATAAATACTGTACATTTTCGGAGAATATTCTTGTGGCTCCTTACATAACTGACATACCCCATTTTTGAAGCCAAGCAGATGAAATCTGGCGTCGTGTGGCAGGTTCGGCATCACGCCTGCTGAGTCAAGAATTATGGACCCGCAGCAACGAGTTGTTTTGGAAGTAGGCCAAGGGAGACCCAAAGGGAGACCCCAAGGGAGACCCCAAGGGAGACCCCAAGGGAGACCCCAAGGGAGACCCCAGGGAACAAAGAGAACAGATGAGAACAGAACGTTGTTCAGGTTGTCAAGAGTTCTTGTCGACCATTCAGGGGATGCTGGTTGACCGGATTTTGGCTTTGTTTTGATGAATGGGCTATGCGGCAGATTCTTTCAAGATGACAGAATCAATTCCTGTCAGTGGTTCCATCGTTTTTTGCCGCATATCTTATATTTTTGCGCGCTCTCCAGCATCTCACGAGGCTATGAAGCTCTCTTTTCAGCTGGATACAAGAAAGGCCGCATCATGAACTCTTTGGGTGGCATGTGCTTTGTCAGCAAGTTGAACCAGTTGGGCAGCCATGGTGCTCATTGTTCTCAGATGCTAACACCTAAGTGGCAGAAGTATCAGCATTCGTGCTCACTTTCTTGTATTCAAACAAGGCATGCAAAGCCATCTTGTATTGTTTCGAAGCAAACATCATTTACTGTCAGTTTCAATGGTCCTACAGTTTGTTCAAGCAGGTCAGACAGGGGATATCTGCAACATTTGTCCATCGACCGTTGGCACGGACGGCAGATACATTTTCCATTGAAATAAGGGTGCATCTGTCAGAGGGAGCAGTTCAGATGGAATTGTGTACACATGTTGATTTGCCAATTTATCATGATCTACCACTATATATCCCATCACATCCCATCTTATCCCATCCTATCCCTATGCCATCTGTGATCCTTTCTCTTATTTTTCCCGGTTGTTGATTCTCAATTCACACGTCGTTAAGTGGGAAGAGAGGACGAGCGGACCACCATAAGAAAGATGGTATGGAAGAAAGCGATCATGATTCATCAATGATGCAAGGAAGTGCCCTTCAGCCCTGCGACAAAAATAGTTGTTCTGACATGTTCTGACCTTTGCATTGGCAGTGCAGTGCATTGGCAATGCAAGGTATTTGGGATATGGCGTTGGCAATTCTGACTTTGGCTGCTCTGAACAAAGAAGGAACTGCGGGCAGGTGGTCAGTTGATGCAGCTTAGTATTTCTATGTATTTCTTTTACAGGCTGAAGCTTGTTTTTGATTTTTTGTTTGCCCTAAAGACAATTTGTTTGGTTCTTTCCAATCGCCTTTGGGCAAAGGGTGATCGCATGGAGGAACCATTGTGCATTACGGTAAGCGCTATGGACTGACAGCTGCAGAAAGGTGTTTGGTGAATTCCTGATTCATGGCACGCTATTTCTATCTGTCGCCCCTTGCACAACTGAAGGTGCGTTTGTAGAGCACAAACTACAAGAGAGCCACACTTGTAATACTGATAAGCAGCTAAGCGGTTTTATAATGTTTTATATGGTTTGGCTGAAAACCTTGACATCTTGATATGGCACTAGTCAGCAGCCAAGCCCAAGGCCACGTGGAGCGTGCTGGCGACACAGCTGCCGAGGGATCCTTTGGTGCGACCGGTGGCAGTGCAGCCATCACTGCCAATAGGTGGGAAATGGTCTGACATGGTGGATGCATATGGCTGACCGTGACACATGGTGGATTTGTCACGGTCCATTGGTCAGCCTAATGCCAGCATCGAATGCTTTGCAACGGAGTCCTGTATGTTGGGTGTTCTTGAACTGGGTGGTTTGAAGGTGGGGACGACTGAACACAGGAATAGAACACATGACTTGCACACATGAATAGTCAATAGTATTCAATAGTCTAGTCCAGTCGAACTTGGATTGCTATGGACTCTGATTGCTCGAAAGATGTCGAACGCCAGGTTCAGCTTCTGCTTGGGAATGAAGGGCCCAAGCCTTGCTGTAGATGCAGAGGAAACACATTCCGATTTGGATGCTGATTGGGCAACGAGGGATCTTTCTTGTTCCAAGTTTACTACAGGAATTTGTTGGAATCTGTTGGAATCTTGCACCTCAAGCATGTTTCAATATTTCAAATTTCCAACATTTGCAGTCACCTGCAGAGGTTTGTGGCAAAGATACATGCAGAATGCAGCAGCAACCACTTTCAAAGGCATCATCAACTTCCAATATTTTTTTCCACAGAGAAGTCTTTACACAGAGAATTTTTACACACGGAAGTTTTCACACAGAGATGTTTTTACACAGAGAAGTCTTTACACAGAGAAGTTTTCACACGCACAAGTTTTTACACAGAGAAGTCTTTACAAGGGGGCGCTTTTACACGAAGTGGAAAGTTGAAATCGGCAGCAATTCTTTAGGAAAAACCGTTCGCAGGAGCTTTCGGGAACAAGCCTTCCCCACTTGCTCCAAGAAAAAACCGCCGATTTGAATATGTTCAAAAAAACATAAGGAATATATTTCGAAGCAGGTCCTCATTTACCAAAATAGTGTTTGTCTTTCCTCGTTCTTTGGCGTGTTTTGCGGTTTTCATGCCACCTTGACCATTCTTGGCCGTTGGTACGTTGAGTCTCGAGTTCTGGGACCCTTTGTGTAAAGACTTGTTTGTGTAACAGCGTCTGTGTGTAACAGCTTCTGTGTGTAAATGCCCTTGTGTATAAAAACTCCTCTGTATAAAGGCTTCTCTGTTTAAAAACTTTTGTGTGAAAAAGTATCTGCTTATAGAAACTTCTGTGTGTAAAGACTTCTCTGTGTAAAAACTTCTGCGTGTGAAAACTTCTCTGTGTAAAGATTTCTCTGTGTAAAGACTTCCGTGTGTAAACGCGCCTGTGTGTAAAAACTTCTCTGTGTAAAGACTTCTCTGTGTAAAAACATCTGTGTGTGAAAACTTTCGTGTGTAAAAATTCTCTGTGTAAAGACTTCTCTGTGGAAAAAATATGTGTGTAAACGCGCCTGTGTGTTAAAACCCTTTGTGTAAAGACTTGTTTGTGTAACAGCGTCTGTGTGTAATAGCTTCTGTGTGTAAATGCCTTTGTGTATAAAAACTCCTCTGTGTAAAGGCTTCTCTGTTTAAAAACTTTTGTGTGAAAAAGTATCTGCTTATAGAAACTTCTGTGTGTAAAGACTTCTCTGTGTAAAAACTTCTGTGTGTGAAAACTTCTGTGTGTAGGAAATCTTTGTGTAAAGACTTCTTTGTGTAAAAGTTTCTGTCTGTAAACACGCCTGTGTGTTAAAACTCTGTGTATAAATACTTCTTTGTGTAACAGCGTCTGTGTGTAACAGTTTCTGTGTGCAAACGCTTTTGTGTGTAAAAAAACTCCCCTGTGTAAAGGTTTCTCTGTGTAAACGCTTCTTCTGTGTGCAAACGCGTCTGTGTGTAAAAACTCTCTGTGTAATCACTTCTCTGTGTAAAAGCTTCTGTGTGTAAAAACTCCTCTGTGTAAACGCGTTTGTGTGCAAAATATCCTTAGTGTAGCGACTTCTGTGTGTAAAAATTTCTGTGTGTAAACACTCCTCCGTGTAAAGACTTCTCTCTGTGTAAAAGTTTCTGCGTGTAAAAACCAGTCTGTATAAAGACTTCTCTATGTAAAAACCCCTGTGTGTAGAAACTTCTGTGTCTAAGAGTCGCTCTGTGTAAAAAAAAATCTGTGTAAACAACCCAGTCTGCACTGACGGACTGACCGGTTCACGGATGTTACTTACGGATGTCTCGGATGTCAAATGTTTTCTCCGTGCGCTCTTTGCCATTGCAGAGGACGCGTCTGGGCTGCTAGCCGTGCACATGGGATGTGCCTTGCCAGACGTGTGCACCTATCAAATGGGCAACTGCAAGACTTGTGAAGCCTTGGACTATATGGACGACTATATGAGCTACATGGAGTGTATGGATTAGATAGTAAATAGACTACAGGGACCGAATCCGCTTGATCTTGCAAATTTCACCATATTGGAAACCACCTTTCTTGTTTGAAACACCAAAAGGTTATCTCCAAAGGATGATCACAATTCAGCAGCTTTTGTAGTCCTGCGGAAACAGACAGTATGTGCTCTGCTGGGTCTGCTGGCATGAGATTTGGCTGCACATTGAAGTAGCTTGCAAGGCTTGGGGGCTAAATTGCACTGGAAGCTCCTGGTCTCTCCAAAAGCCTTTGTTAGTATCCAGCTTTGGTGATTTTTTTAAAATGCATCTGATCATCTGAGGTGTTCTGATGTTACATCTTTATAGAGTGATACATACCACAGATCATCAAAATTTATCCAAGAACCTCACTCGTCGAACTTGTTGGGTCTGAGGCGAGGCATTGCACAGCAAAGGGCGGGCACAGGCAAACGAATACTCTGTTTGTGGAGGCATCAAGCTCCTTGTCTGACTTCATTTGGTCACATCTCGTTTGTCCAGACAAATGGTTGCGAAAGCTTGCGAAAGAGCTCAATGAAAGAGCATCGAGAGGCGTACGTGGGGAAGCGCGCCGGAAGTCTGTACGACCCACATAGGGTGTTGTTGGCGAAAGAGCCGCAAGAGTGATTCGAAACAAAGATGTTCCCACGAGAACTATAGAGTAACCGAGAGTAACCTAGATTAGATACTGCTAGTTGATGATAGCTGATCGATGTTACTCAAAATGGTTTCGAACACGGCTAGGCACCTCCAGCGTTTTTATGCTGAGGTTGAACTTGGCTTTCTTCTACTGGCCGCAAAGGCAAGCAGCAGGCTCAATTCTTGCATTTTTTTTTCATTTTTTTCTCCTGCTCTTGCAATGTTTTGCCCAAATGAGCAATGAAAAGACGCTTTCCATTTTTTCAGCCATGTGAGGTTCCACTCGGGATCAATCCAGCCAGAGTGTCAGAATGCTTCATCCAACATCTGGAGACGTTATCATCGATACGTTGAATTAGGACAGGTCAACATGCAGGAGATTGTGGACTTTGAGCAGTCACGTCAAAACGTCGAAGGAAGGTTTCCAATACAAAGCGACATGTTTCTTCTGAGTAGGATCTAACCACTCGCCAGGATTGGACCGGGAGCAATGAAAAGACGCTTTCCCACAGCTAGCTTTTCTGGGGATGCATGATCAGAACTTTGCCCGGGGGTAGGGTGAACTCCCGATAGTTTCATGCAATCCTCCGATAGGCTATCGTGTATGCACGTTTTTTTCCCCCTCCTAAGACAGGCAACGCCGCACATGATGACGCGGGACGCTTTCACTTTGGTCTTCAATCATCAATTCCTTGCAATTAATCATGAACATCACGATCATGCCAAATCACTTCTTTTTCTCTGCGGTCTGTGCGGCTGGTCAAACAATTTCTTTCACGTGTTCCATAACTTGTCCTGTACAAGTGCAAGAGAAGATCTTGTAGCGCAGCGTCAAATTGCTGTGCAAGTGCGCGAAAAGATCTTGTAGCGTAGCGTCAAGTTGCTGTGCAAGTGCAAGAGAAGATCTTGTGGCGCAGCGTCAAGTTGCTGTGCAAGTGCAAGAAAAGATCTTGTAGCGTAGCGTCAAGTTGCTGTGCAAGTGCACGAGAAGATCTTGTAGCGTAGCGTCAAGTTGCTGTGCAAGTGCATGAGAAGATCTTGTAGCGTAGCGTCAAGTTGCTGTGCAAGTGCAAGAGAAAATCTTGTAGTGTAGCGTCAAGTTGCTGTGCAAGTGCAAGAGAAGATCTTGTAGCGTAGCGTCAAGTTGCTGTGCAAGTCAATAAAGATGTCGATAGAGAACGTTATTGCGCCCCCCCACCCGGCCCCACCCCACCCGACCCCAACATCAAAACACTAAAAACCACCGCGTCGTTATTGGCGGTGTTAGCAAAGACAAGGATGAGAGCATGTCTGACAATAGTTAGGTACATAGACTTCAGACATGTAGATTAAATATATTAATGGGTTTATGCTTGCTGCTCTGCATCGTTCTTTTTTTAAGAGCATAGATTTTCAAAATGATAACATCTCAATCCTTATAGATATACAGTATTCAGCTTGATTAATTAACGCATTATTGGACTTTGTTGGCCTTGTCTCATCGGGCTTTCGGAGGTGTTTCTTGTCGGGAATTTTAAAAACTTATCGGTAGCTGACAATTCGATTTTTTGTCGGGTCTTTAACGTATTCTCACCTTTGCCCACCACGTATCCCAGAGCCCACTAAGATTTACAGGCTGGTGTCTGATGTGTTGTGCGCAGGTTGGTTGTCCAAGACCGGCCGATGCTTGACCTTTGACAACAATGCTGATGGTTGGGTACATGGCGATGCAGCGGTGAATGTGGTTGTCAAGACGTTGCGTGGCACGTTGAAGAAGCTGGTTCTTGGATAGAGCCAATTTGTCGTCATCTGACACACAACCCCGAAGCTTACATCGTCATATTCCTAGCAGTTCCGATTCTAACATGCCGATGCATGCCGTACAAATGTTTGAGTGGAGAAGTTTCAAGGCCCCCTTTCAAATCTCTTTTATATTCTTTTATTTGAGACTCTTGCCTCTTGGATTGAACTTGTGGCTGTGTTGCTGTGACCAAAAAATGATTTGCAAGAAAGAATTCAGTTGTCTTGTTCGCTGTAGATATTGCCAACCTTTCCAAACAGCATCATTGGCACTCAAGGTTGAGCGACAATGTGGATGGCCAAATTGTGGCCGCTTGCAGTGCATGTGGCTTTTAGGTGAAGACGCTTTCGCAATTTTCCGTCCAGAGTTGTTCGGTTTGACAGTTTTCTCTTGCTCGTTACACTTTCACCCTCCCTTTTTGCCCTTACCCGTGCCCTATACTACTGGTGGATGCCTTATCGTGGCTCAAAATTCTGTGACCGCGAAATTGAACGACTTTGGGCTTAGTTCTGCAAGTGACAATATTATGCAATATTTAGCTACCCACTTGAATCGTTTTAAAGCGGTGCAGCGCACACTTCCTTGGAAGTCCTAGTTCATTACTAGTTTTGGTTTGGTAGACCCTTCACATCCCAAATTCAATTAGTGTTTTGGGTGCGTGCACTCTCTGACAGAAACGTTTACCTAAAAATTGGAAAGGCCAAAAAAAGCCGAGTTTATTTTTGAAGTTCGAATGAAATAAGGGCAGAAAAAAACTACAAACAAACAATGGCTAAATTTGAATTCACACGGACGGGAGAGGGCAGGAAAATATAGGAAAGGCCGTGAATGCATTGTGGGCGCAGGAGGTGCAGCCACTTGCCAGTGGCTGCAACTGGCTGCACATGGCTGCTTGGGCAAGTGGCGGCAAGTCGCGGCTTGTGGCTGCTTGTGGCTGCTTGTGGCTGCTTGTGGCTGCTTGTGGCTGCGGGGCAAGTGGCTCCAAGTGGCTGCAAGTGGCTGCAAGTGGCTGCAAGTGGCTGCAAGTGGCTGCAAGTGGCTGCAAGTGGCTGCAAGTGGCTGCAAGTGGCTGCAAGTGGCTGCAAGTGGCTGCAAGGGGCGGCAAGTGGTTGCAAGTGGCTGCTTGTAGCTGCACAGTCCCGGCCTATGCGACACAGACCTTGCAAAAACAACTTTAAACAAGAACAACAACAACAACAAGAACAAGAAGAAGAAGAAGAAGAAGAAAACCAATACTACTAATAATAAGAACAAGAAGAACAATGAGAACAAGATGGAGAACAAGATGAAGATCAAGAACAAGAACCACAACAGGAACAAGAACAAGAAACAGAACAAGATCAAGAACAAGAATAACCACAAGAACAAAACTAAAAACAAGAACCACAACACCAACAACAAAAAGTCCTTAACTTTCGATCATCCTTGATGCTACGCCGTAAGATCTTGCCCTTGATTTTCAAACAACTTTGATGCTACACTGTCAGATCACAGCCTGATCTTGCAATCATCTGTAATGCTACCGTGTAAGATTTTGTCCTTAAATTGCAAATCTTTGTTGCTACGAGGTAAGATCTTGTCCTTGACCTTCAAACATGTTGGATGCTACGCTCTAAGATTCTGTCTGTCTTGTTCCTAACCCTCAGACATGTTGGATGGTACGCTGTAAGTTCTTGTCCTTAACGAACAAGAACCAGAACCAGAACAAGAGCAAGAACCGCAACCACAACCACAAGATCAAGAACAAGAACCACAACATTAACATTAACATTAACAACAACAACAACAAAAATAACAATAACAAAACAAAATAATTAAAAGAACAAGAGCAAGAACAACAACAACAACAACAACAACAACAACATTCATTAACAACAAGAACCAGAACGAAAACGAGGACAAAAGGAAACATAACAAGTTCTTGGAAGATCTGGATGCTGCCCAAGAAGATTTTGCCCTGAACTCTCAAGCATCTTGTATGATTTTGGTTGCTATGGAGTAAGACTGTGTCCTTAACATTCAATCATCTTGAGTGCTACGGTGTAAGATCGTGCCCTTGACATTCAATCATCTTGGACGCTACACTCAAAGAGCTTGTCCTTAACTTTGAACATCTTGGATTTTATGCTCTAAGACCTTGTCCTTGAATTACAAACATCCTGGATGCCATGCTGTAAGACCTTGCCCATAATCTTCAAACACCTTTGATGCTACGGTGTCAGGTCTTGTCCTTAAGTTCCAAACATGCTTGATGCTACGCTGTAAGATCCTCTCCTTCACTTTCCAGCATCTTGGATGCTACGGTGTAAGATTCTGTCCTTAACTTTCAAACATGTTTGATGCTATGCTGGAAGGCCTTGTCCTTAACTTTCAATCTTCTTGGATTGTACGGTGTAACATCTTGTCCTTAACTTTCAACCATCTTGGATGACACGCTGTAAGACGTGTCCTTAACTTTCAATCATCTTGTGTGCTACGCTGTCAGGTCTTGTCCCCAACCTTCAGACATGTTGGATGATACGCTGCAAGTTCTCGTCCTTGCCGGACAAAAACAAGAACCACAACAGCAAAAACAAGAATTCTGGTTAAGATGGATATTTTTCCTTTAACCAATCCATTGATGGTCGACTTCAAAACTCTGCAGGGCCTGGTTTATAAAATTTGACATAGGTATCACATCGGAATCCGAACCTCCACCAGTTAAAATATACCCTTTGCATCAATGATGAAATGTTCAATAACCAAAGTTATAAACACACTCAAAGATGTTATGACCCGCGAAACGGCGACTTACAAACCACGCTTGTTAATCACATACTAAGGTAAGCCATCATTAAACAACCCACAAGAATTACTAAACAGGTAGTCGTAAGTTCGCTGGCTGCAAGTGAGCGCTGGCCCTCAAATACAAGCAATCTGGCCCTTTGTTTTTTTCTCTCTGAAACAGCTTTTATACCTATGTTTCAATCGGTGCGGTACAGTAGCTGCTGGTGGATGGCTGCTAGCAATCTACTACAGACAATCTTGAAAAAAAAAGTAAAATCTACAAAAACACTTTTTTTCAAGATGGCACGTGGCTGCAAGTGGCTGCAAGTGGCTGCAAGTGGCTGCAAGTGGCTGCAAGTGGCTGCAAGTGGCTGCAAGTGGCTGCAAGTGGCTGCAAGTGGCTGCAAGTGGCTGCATCAGCAAGTGGCTGCAAGTGACTGCTTTTTCAAAAATCAAAATGATGCACGTTTGCTCGCTCTCTGAATGCAAAAAGGTGCAACAACCTGGGACAAAAAAACAAAACCTGAACTTAGTCCCTATGTGCTTGTTTGGTGTTGAGTGTTTTGGTGTTTTTGAATCAGTTCTAGAATCCAAGTGGTCTGCATAGAATACATTGTAAAAGTTAGTGTGAATTCTTGTTGTGAAGCACGTGCAAGAAACCTTTTGCTCCAAATTGTATCCCTGAGATAAAGCAAGGCACGTAGGCATGTCTGCTACCAAATATATATATACTCTTTCTTTCAATCTGGAAAAAAAGCATTGATCTCATCCTGGGAAGCGTTCAACTTAGATGATAGAAAAGAAATGATAGCAAAAGGTACAAAGTTCGAATCTACAAAGGCAGTGCTTTAGGGGTTTTGGTAGCATGTCTGGAACGTTCGAAAGTCTCGGAGATTCACGGTGCATCGAGGTAAAGGAAAGTGAGCCTTTCCTCGCTTCCCTTTGTGGCTCTTCTGTTCGACACACAGGCACATCTGGTGCTTAAAGCCTCATGTGAAGCCAGAGCCTTTTTGGCCTTAGCCAAGTCCTTCAATTCAGAAAGGCAGATGTGTAGGGGGTGCCTTATATAACTTATATGTAATTAGCCGCCTTACAAATTTCTGCAGGGATCTGCTTGTTGGATTTGCAGCTTAAGGTCCTCATGTTCTTGCCCTAATTTTCTGCCAGATCAGCTGCGGGTCGTTGCTACTTCGTCCTTTTTTGGCAGTGTGGGAGGCTTTGGAGCATCCTTGTCGGCATCCCATGGTCCCACGGAACAAGAGGTGATATCCACAGTCAGCATCTCAGAGAATTTGAAAATCTTTGGAAAGTGAAGACACAGCAGTTGCCTATGAGGATCCTATGAGTTGCCAATGAGGTAGCAGGAGATAGCAGGAGGGTATTGCAACATAGACTGGTGCAGTCGGTCATGGCTGTTCTCCTTTGCCTGGCTGCACTGTGCTGCTGTGCTACTGACGGCGCGGGTGCTGCAGTACAACGCGAATGCGCTGCGGCGAAGCAAACTCGCTGAGATCGCGGATCTGAAATTCTTTACTCTATAGTTTATATAGTGATTTTTGCGTTTGGTTTGTTCAAAAGAGTAGTGGCCAGAACACCGGTTGGCTAGTTCTTCTACATTTACTTTGCGCTTGGAGTTGTATGGAAGAATGCCTCTCAACCAAACAGTGTACTAGGAGGACTCCCTTTCCGCATTGCGCAACTTCTATTCTACTGCTTGGGTCTGTGCTATACTATTACTATACTATTGGGTCGTACGCCGCGGAAGATTGGCAGAATTCCAACCCACGGCGCGTGCGCAATCCTGCAATCAACTCGCACTTGCCGACAAGTCTTTCACATGCAGCGTGTTGTTTTTCCCCCAGTTTCCCTGTGATGAAGCCGTGCTTTGAACACGCTTAATCCATTTTATTTTCTTGCCCTTGCATGATTGACACTGCTGCAGTCCTTTCAACTAGGTTTTGCTTCGGCCATAGTATGTTCTACCCGGTATGACACCTACCTTTTCCAAGACAATTACTGGTTCCCAGGCAGTTCAAGCTGCGGGGCTCACAGGCATGGGGAGCTTTGCGGGCAGCGGATGGCTGAGTGCCGGTTCCACCAAGACTTGCTAAGTAAGCGCTTGGGCGCCAAGCAGCAATTGAAACGTAAGTTCCCAAAGAGATGCTTTGAACATCTCAGACTCACATTGTTGCAGAAGTTGATGTCGATTTTCTCAGGGTGGCTGTGATCAAGCCTTCAACTTTTTGGACTCATTCTATCTCATTCTAATCAATCTATGGCCACAAGCATTCCAGTGGCAAACCTGCCGACCAACCCATTTGGTTGCACATATCTCCGCATCAGTGCCTCAACTGCTCAAATCTAGCAAATCTTTTGGAGTAAGCTGATGCACGGAGTAAGGCTGATGCACGCTCTCCCTATGCCAGGTTAGGTTCAAACGCTGCTGACTTGAGGATTTGCCATACTTTACAGCCCCTTCGTGCCATTGCTGTGCAAAAGCTACAGAGCGAACTCTATGAGCTTCCTGGCGTTCCCAAGTTGTGGTGTTAGCCGAGTGTTCACATTCTGTGGAGGTGTTGACATCGACGCCTGCGAGACATATGGCATTGCAAACATGCTTGCTGACCCCGTGGAGGCATGGAACTCTTGGTTGATTGGAACGCAGAATTCAATTTACAATGTTAGACAATCAGGACATATTATATGGAGGAACTGAGAGATGATGTCCTTGATGCCTGAAAGCCTATATACAGTGTCCAATGTCTTAAGTCTTTTGCCCCTAGGGGACCTTTTGGGCGCGCAGGTGAACTCTGTGTCAAGGGCTCTCGCCTCAGCCTCCTTGTAGAAAAAGGACTGGATTTTTGAGCTTTTTGGATTGCCACACCCAGGTGCTGAGACTTGCAGATGATGATGATGATGATGCGCCACTTCTGCTCCGGGTGGGCACTACGCTGCTCTAAGAAGTAGCAGTGGAACTACTCTTTGAATTTCCAAAGCAATTGAAAGCACATGATCTTGCTAAATTGCGAACTGCAATGTCTGTCACGTTACCTTTTCGGGAAGCCCTGAACCGAGCCAAACTCCAGGCCTCAAAGACGGCTATGGGCAATGCGATGCATGCAGGGTCGGCAGTGTCCTTGATGCATGCCATTCTTGGAGCAGTGCCTTGGCAGTCTTCTGCTATTTTGAAAAGATACTCTCCGTCTGTTAACTTCTGCTATTTAGCTATTTAGCTATATATATGTGTATATATATATATGCTTCCTTTTTTTCCTCCCCTTCTTCCGCTTTCTCTCCAATTTTTCCTAGTTTTAGCCCACACGTTGATCATGTTCCCTAGCCCATCAAGAACGCAGCTTAATGTTATATATGACCTCAAGTTGTTCAGAGAGTTGATGTGCTGCCGCTCAAGAACTTCATGCTCGAGACCTCGTCTGTCCTTGGTGTCCTGGTGCAGGGCTTGCGGTCCAATCTTTCGGGTCTTGCTTGTCCCTTTTATTGCACTGGTCACTCTGTTTCCTTGGCCCTCTCGTTCTTCCTTTTGGGCTTTCTTTGTGGTTGTGGTTTGTGTGCTTGGCTCCTGCTCCGGTTTGACATTGTCCCGTTGCATTCCTCCACACTTCATCCTGCCGCATCAGCCCCATCTGTGCCCCGCGTGGTCAACCCTCGTGCTGCTCTTCTGGGCTACTTGCATGTCTCCTTGGGTATTGTGGGTGACTTTGTCCAATACCCGTCGGCCTATCAGCCACGTGCTCGGTCTCCTGACCCCTTCCACTGGATCTTTCGAGGTCATCAGCTCGGATTCCCCCCCCTCGGCCTCCTGCCTCGTTTGGGAGAATCTGCAAAGCCGGCAGCCACCCTAAAAGATCCAATAGCATGCCGAATAAAACCGAAATCGGAAGTCCAAAGGTGGCGTGAGTTTTGCCCTGAGGAAATAACCAATGGCGTCAGTTGCTTCAGGAAGAGGAGGGATTGAGCTTGGAAGCTTTGGTCACTGCCGATGGCGTTGCAGACGCCATGGCATAGGTGGTTGCAAAGCGGATGGGAAGATTTCTTTTGGCCCTTCCGGTAGGCTTCTTGCCAGAGGCTGTGCTCAACAGGGCAGATACCGGAGAGGAATCAGGACCCGTGGGGGTTTCATCAGTTTTGGTTGCCCCAGGCATGCTCATGGAAGATGGTACCAGGTCCAGCAGGCATGGATTTGGCAGTTTTGGTCGTCGCCAACTTGCGGCATGCCGAGGGTCCAGAAGACATCGCAATGGCTTTCGACCTGGACTCACCTTTTTCATTTCCCTCTCCAAGAGGGCTTCTCGCTCGGTACTGCCAGGGGCCCGGAGGAGGAGCAGTCAAATGCAGATCCATCCCCCACCGGCATTCCGAGAGGAGCCAGACCTGCCAGGAGATCAAAGCCGTCAGCAAACACCGGAGGTATGCCTTCTGGAGGAGGAGGTCAGCCAAAGCCAAAGAGGGTGACCACTGCCTGGCAGCTTCAATGGACCAGCTTCTGACTCGATCTTGTACCGGCTTTGACTTCCCAGCTGCAGACCTTGATCCAGCGCCAAGATGCTTTGGAAACAAGGATGACCGCCCGACTTGGGCGGGAGCTTTGGGCCTCACCCAGCCTCTCTCTTCCTCTTTGACTTCTCGCCCAGTTCAACCCGCTGCCGTGGCTCAGATGGTGGAGAAGCTCCGCCCCAATGATGGATCTGGATTTTCGGCCTTTGGATTTACAGGCCTTGGAGGGGGAGAAGATGCCGGACCAGATGGACGGCAACTCAGACCTGGCGAAAGCTATGTTGGTTCAGTCCCAAGCGTTGACAGCCCTGGTAGGGCAGATTGCCCAATCCAGTCAAGACCCAATCGCCGACCTCAGCTCTGGGAGCTCAGCAGCCAGCACTCGGGGGTCAGTGGGCCGTGCCCGTCTCCAGGCAGAACTTGCATCTCACTCTGGAAGCTTCTATTTGAGTGTGCTTCGAGCAATTTCCAGGAGAATGCAGCCTACAGTGGCTTCCTCAGGGACGCCTGCAGAGATTTTGTCCCTACCCGATACATGGAGCCTTTTGGTGCTTGTGGTCGTCAGAGGGATCTTGGCCTTGTCTTGTTTCAAGTAATGATTCCTTCAAGCAGACAACAAGGGATGCAATTGCTTTGCTGGCGGTGATGCTGGATCAAGCCATGGCCGCTTCGATCTGGTGGCCCTACTGACACTTCAGGGGGAGCCCCCAACACCCATCTTCCAGCATCGCCAACAAAGCACACTCTCTCGCTGCAGAGCCTTCTCCCAGTTAGCGGATCAGACATGGATCACGGTTGCCCTGGCGTTTATCAAGGAGTTGGACCTGATTGCCTCGAAGTGGCAGGAGATGGTCTCAGGTCAACCAACAGGGCCACAGAAGCAGGGGGGAGAGGGGTCAGATGCTCAGCCAAAGGGAAAGAGCCAGCCAAAGCGAAAGCAGAAAGGAGGCGGAAGGGGTCAGTCAGGGGGACGTCAAGGTGCTCAGGAGGCAGAGGAGGAATGAAAGCAGCTGGGAAGCCATCCCAGCGAAGTTCAATGAATTCAGACACAGGGGCAGGAGCCAAACCCTCTTGTGGACTGTATGGATTTTTCCACTTGGGCCATTTGTTTGCCGAGGTGGGTCATGCGTTCTCGAATTGACTTTGCGTGGCACTTGCGTCGTTCGATTCTGGTTCCCATGCCACAGTCTTCCGGACTGTCCGCTGCTGTTTTGCCTTTGCCTCTTCTCTCCTCATCTTCTTGGTGTTGGAAGTCGCATGTTGGTCTCTCCAAGAGGAGGCTGTTCAATCTTGGTCGTGCCAGAGTGCTGCATGCTTGCGTTGGACTTGCTGTTCCTTGGCCGTTACCCTGCCTTGGAGGAACTAAGCAGGAGACCTACGGCTGCCCAATCAGAAATTATTGCATGGTTGAGGTCTCAGTTGGCTGTGTGTAGGTTTGTGGAGGAAACGTTTCCACTTGCCCCCGGAAGAGCTGGTCCTGAATTAAGTGCAGCGTTGTTGCAGCTTGAAGTTTGCTGTTGGCTGTCCGGAGTTTCAACCAGGCTACCTTGAAGGAGCTGTAAAGATGAAACCAGACCCTGCCATGTTTCCACCCAGCAAATTTCCCCAGCTTGTGCCTTACAGGTCGCTGGATGCCTCTCGGCTTCGGCTTGTCGGTGAGGGCGCTTGGGACATGCAGAAGTTCATTGTAGGACCTTTGTGGCTGCCTTACCAAGAGCCGGCTGTCCTTCGTCATGGACTTGACATTGACTTGACGTGCTCCCCCAATTTTGCTATAGGGAGTCCAGACAGGAGTGTTTGGAATTGGTGAAGCTTTGGGACGTGAAGGGCATTCTTAGGTTACATGAGCAGCCTTGCCAGGTCTTTTCTGCCGGGCTTCAATGCATTCAAGTCTGAGATTGCTGATCGGCAGATTGGGGAAAGGCGCATGGTGAACATGACTGAAATGGGTTTTGACGGACCATCCAAGTTTCTTCCACCAAGGGGCTCTTTCGACCCAGCTGAAGGTACTCGTAGCCCGTTTTAGGGAGCGTTTGGTGGCCCCGGTCGTGACTTTTACCATCAAGCCAGGGTCACTGCTGAGCGCTCCAGGACATCTTTCTCATGAGAACCCAACAGGCCTTCACAAGAGTACACAGCTCGAGCTTTCTCCAGGGCATCATACGCAGCAGTCTGTTCATCAGGGCAGCCAGCCTTTTCACAACTGATTACACCGGCATAGACCCCAGATAGAAAAGGTTGGAACTGATGGTTCCCAACGTGGGAACCAAAGGTTACCATGGCAATGAACTGCCAGTTCCCAGACCTTGAAACTTACGGTTCCCAACCTGGGAACCAGAGGTTACCATTGCAAGGAATTGCCGGTTCCCAGAAGTTAGAATTTATGTTTTCGAAGCTAAGCAACTATCATTGTAAGGAACTGCAGATTCCCAAAGTTTGAAACTCATGGTTCCAAAGCTGAAAAAGCATACGTTACCAGTGGAAGGATCTGTTGATTTCAAAAAATAGAAATCATGGTTCTTAAGGTTGTTTTGTTTTGTTTACTGAGCCGGTAACAGAACCTTTTGTTTTGCTTAATGGACCGGTAGCGGAATCTTTGCGTTCGGCTGCTGGGCCGGCTTAAAAATGTTTTTGCACGAGAAAGGTGCATGTTAAAATGATATGAAAACAATTTCTTTACAACTTTATGGTTTTGTGTAATGGACCGGTAAAGAACGCTTTGTTTTGCTTAATGGACCGGTACCGGAATGTTTGCGCTTGGTTCATGGCAAGGAACTGCCGGTTCCCAAAGGTTGGAACTCACTGTTGCCAACGTGGGAACCACAGGTTACCATTGCAAGGAACTGCCGGTTCCCAGAGGTTGGAACTCCTGGTTCCCAACCTGGGAACCATGGGTTAACCATTGCAAGCAACTGCCGGTTACCAGAGGTTGGAACTCATGCTTCCCAACCTGGGAACCATAGGTTACCATTGCAAAGAACTTCCGGTTCCTAAAGGTTGGAACTGATGGGTCCCACCGTGGGAACCACAGGTTACCATGGCAAGGAACTGCCGGTTCCCAGACCTTGAAACTTACGGTTCCCAACCTGCGAACCAGAGGTTACCATTGCAAGGAGTTGCCGGGTCCCACAGGTTAGAACTTATGTTTTCGAAGCTAAGCGGCTATCATTGTAAGGAACTGCGGGTTCCCAAAGCTTGAAACTCATGGTTCCAAGCCTGAAAAAGTAACGTTACCAGTGGAAGGATCTGTTGATTGCAAAAAGTTAGACCTCATGGTTCTTAATGTTGTTTTGTTTTGTTTACTGAGCCGGTAACAGAACCTTTTGTTTTGCTTACTGGACCGGTAGCGGAATGTTTGCGTTTGGCTGTTGGGCCGGCTTAAAAATGTTTTTGCACGAAAAAGGTGCATGTTAAAATGATATGAAAACAGTTTCTTTACAATTTTATGGTTTTGCTTAATGGACCGGTACAGAACGCTTTGTTTTGCTTAATGGACCGGTACCGGAATGTTTGCGTTTGGTTCATGGCAAGGAACTGCCGTTTCCCAGAGGTTGGAACTCCTGGTTCCCAACCTGGGAACCATGGGTTACCATTGCAAGAAACTGCCGGTTACCAGAGGTTGGAACTCATGCTTCCCAACCTGGGAACCATAGGTTACCATTGCAAGCAACTGCCGGTTCCCAGCGGTTGGAACTCATGCTTCCCAACCTGGGAACCATAGGTTACCATTGCAAAGAACTTCCAATTCCTAAAGGTTGGAACTGATGGTTCCCAACGTGGGAACCAAACGTTACCATGGCAAGGAACTGCCGGTTCCCAGACCTTGAATCTTACGGTTCCCAACCTGGGAACCAGAGGTTACCATTGCAAGGAATTGCCGGTTCCCAGAAATTAGAATTTATGTTTTCGAAACTAAGCAACTATCATTGTAAGGAATTGCCGGTTGCGAAAGCTTGAAACTCATGGTTCCAAACCTGAAAAAGCATACGTTACCAGTGGAAGGATCTGTTGATTGCAAAAAGTTAGACCTCATGGTTCTTAATGTTGTTTTGTTTTGTTTGCTGAGCCGGTAACAGAACCTTTTGTTTTGCTCAATGGACCGGTAGCGGAATGTTTGCGTTTGGCTGTTGGGCCGGCTTAAAAATGTTTTTGCACGAAAAAGGTGCATATCAAAATGATATGAAAACAGTTTCTTTACAATTTTATGGTTTTGCTTAATGGACCGGTACAGAACGCTTTGTTTTGCTTAATGGACCGGTACCGGAATGTTTGCGTTTGGTTCATGGCAAGGAACTGCCGGTTCCCAAAGGTTGGAACTCACTGTTCCCAACCTGGGAACCATGGGTTACCATTGCAAGAAACTGCCGGTTACCAGAGGTTGGAACTCATGCTTCCCAACCTGGGAACCATAGGTTACCATTGCAAAGAACTGCCGTTTCCTAAAGGTTGGAAATGATGGTTCCCAACGTGGGAACCAAAGGTTACCATGGCAAGGAACTGCCAGTTCCCAGACCTTGAAACTTACGGTTCCCAACCTGGGAACCAGAGGTTACTATTGCAAGGAATTGCCGGTTCCCAGAAATTAGAACTTATGTTTTCGAAACTAAGCAACTATCATTGTAAGGAATTGCCGGTTGCGAAAGTTTGAAACTCATGGTTCCAAACCTGAAAAAGCATACGTTACCAGTGGAAGGATCTGTTGATTGCAAAAAGTTAGACCTCATGGTTCTTAATGTTGTTTTGTTTTGTTTACTGAGCCGGTAACAGAACCTTTTGTTTTGCTTAATGTACCGGTAGCGGAATGTTTGCGTTTGGCTGTTGGGCCGGCATAAAAATGTTTTTGCACGAAAAAGGTGCATGTCAAAATGATATGAAAACAGTTTCTTTACAATTTTATGGTTTTGCTTAATGGACCGGTAAAGAACGCTTTGTTTTGCTTAATGGACCGGTACCGGAATGTTTGCGTTTGGTTCATGGCAAGGAACTGCCGGTTCCCAAAGGTTGGAACTCACGCTTGCCAACGTGGGAACCACAGGTTACCATTGCAAGGAACTGCCGGTTCCCACAGGTTAGAAGTCATGGTTCCCAACCTGGAAACCATAGGTTACCATTGCAAAGAACTTCCAGTTCCTAAAGGTTGGAACTGATGGTTCCCAACGTGGGAACCAAAGGTTACCATGGCAAGGAACTGCCGGTTCCCAGACCTTGAATCTTACGGTTCCCAACCTGGGAACCAGAGGTTACCATTGCAAGGAATTGCCGGTTCCCAGAAATTAGAATTTATGTTTTCGAAGCTAAGCGGCTTTCATTGTAAGGAACTGCGGGTATCCAAAGCTTGAAACTCATGGTTCCGAGCCTGAAAAAGTAACGTTACCAGTGGAAGGACCTGTTGATTGCAAACAGTTAGAACTCATGGTTCTTAATGTTGTTTTGTTTTGTTTACTGAGCCGGTAACAGAACCTTTTGTTTTGCTCAATGGACCGGTAGCGGAATGTTTGCGTTTGGCTGTTGGGCCGGCTTAAAAATGTTTTTGCACGAAAAAGGTGCATGCTAAAAAGATATGAAAACAGTTTCTTTACAACTTTTTGGTTTTGCTTAATGGACCGGTAAAGAACGCTTTGTTTTGCTTAATGGACCGGTACCGGAATGTTTGCGTTTGGTTCATGGCAAGGAACTGCCGGTTTCCAAAGGTTGGAACTCACGGTTGCCAACGTGGGAACCACGGGTTACCATTGCAAGGAACTGCCGTTTCCCAGAGGTTGGAACTCCTGGTTCCCAACCTGGGAACCATGGGTTACCATTGCAAGAAACTGCCGGTTACCAGAGGTTGGAACTCATGCTTCCCAACCTGGGAACCATAGGTTACCATTGCAAAGAACTTCCAGTTCCTAAAGGATGGCACTGATAGTTCCCAACGTGGGAACCAAAGCACAGCACGCTACAGCACCCTGCACAGCACCCTGCACAGCACCCTGCACAGCACCTTTCACAGCACCCTTCACAGCACCCTGCACAGCACCTTTGCGAGACTTCGCCACCGCAGTCTGGATAGCGCACCTTTGCCAGACTTCGCCACCGCAGTCTGGACAGCACCCTGCACAGCACCCTGCACAGCACCCTGCACAGCACCCTGCACAGCACTCTGCACAGCACCCTGCACAGCACCCTGCGCAGCATCTGCACAATACTCTGCACAGCACCCTGCACAGCACCCTGCACAGCACCTTTGCCAGACTTCGCCACCGCAGTCTGGACAGCACCCTGCACAGCACCCTGCACAGCACCCTGCACAGCACCTTTGCCAGACTTCGCCACCGCAGTCTGGACAACACCCTGCAGAGCACCCTGCACAGCACCTTTGCCAGACTTCGCCACCGCAGTCTGGACAGCACCCTGCACAGCACCCTGCACAGCACCCTGCACAGCACCCTGCACAGCACCTTTGCCAGACTTCGCCACCGCACTAGTACAGCACCCTGCACAGCACCCTGCACAGCACCCTGCACAGCACCCTGCACAGCACCTTTGCAAGACTTTGCCACCGCAGTCTGCACAGCACCCTGCACAGCACCCTACACAACCCTGCACAGCACCTTTGTGAGACTTCGCCACCGCACTCTGGACAACACCCTGCAGAGCACCCTGCACAGCACACTGCACAGCACCTTTGCCAGACTTCGCCACCGCAGTCTGGACAACACCCTGCACAGCACCCTGCACAGCATCCTGCACAGCACCCTGCACAGCACCTTTGCCAGACTTCGCCACCGCAGTCTGGACAGCACCCTGCACAGCACCTTTGCCAGACTTTGCCACCGCAGTCTGGACAGCACCCTGCACAGCACCCTGCACAACACCTTTGCCAGACTTCGCCACCGCAGTCTGGACAGCACCCCGCACAGCACCCTGCACAGCACCCTGCACAGCACCTTTGCTAGACTTCGCCACCGCAGTCTGGACAGCCCTGCACAGCACCCTGCACAGCACCCTGCACAGCACCTTTGCCAGACTTCGCCACCGCAGTCTGGACAGCACCCTGCACAGCACCCTGCACAGCACCCTGCACAGCACCCTGCACAGCACCTTTGCCAGACTTCGCCACCGCACTCTGGCTGCACAGCACCCTGCACAGCACCCTGCACAGCACCTTTGCCAGACTTCGCCACCGCAGTCTGGACAGCACCCTGCACAGCACCCTGCACAGCACCTTTGCCAGACTTCGCCACCGCAGTCTGGACAGCACCTTGCACAGCACCCTGCACAGCACCTTTGCCAGACTTCGCCACCGCAGTCTGGACAGCACCCTGCACAGCACCCTGCACAGCACCTTTGCCAGACTTCGCCACCGCACTAGTACAGCACCCTGCACAGCACCCTGCACAGCACCCTGCACAGCACCCTGCTCAAAAGTTCGCCACCGAAGACCCCACCTTTGAGAAGTAAGAACCCCTATAGCTTGCCCGCTATCTGGGGAATAAAAAAATCATCGATGACCAGACTAGAATAATGCGGGCCCCTCGGAAAGGGGTGGAGCCCACGGATTTGCTGGCTGTCCTTCAGGAGCCCTGCCTCTTCAAGCAAGTTCTGATGCGAGCAGAAGGCAAATTCAACACCCAAATGGTCACCCTGGAAGAGGGAAGCAAATCCAGCGAAGAGGAGGGGCTCGGGAGTCCATGCCCCCCCCCTTTCGAGGACCAGCTTCAAGTCCAAATCCAAGCTGGTCGCCAATGATTTTACGGTCAACAGCCGTACCAATACGCTGCTCAGCAACAAGTCTTCCAGGCAGTCAGTCCGAACGGCAGAAGGAAAGCGGTTGGTGCACCACGGGCAATGCGCCTTGCTCTGTCAGTCCCGTCCCTGCGTGCTGCTGTCTCGCCTGGGATTTCAGAAAAGTTGGCCTCCCGTGTTGCCGGAAATTGGTCTTCTGTCGTCTACCGGAGATGTTTGAGTAGCAGGGCGTGCAGAGCCCCGATGGTAGCCATGATGCAGTTGTCCCTCTTTCCAGGGTTATTGCGAGGGAGCTTGTCCTGTTGTCCGTCTTGTCCCCTTGGGTTTGCACGAATGTCGCTGTTGAATACCTCTCCACAGCATATGCCTCCGATGCGTCTTTGGAAAAAGGAGCGTTTGTCAGTGCGGAATTGGGTGCAAGCGTGCTGCGAGCCTGTGGCTTGATTCGGACAAGAAGGGGTTGAGTTGTACTTGACATTGGCTTCTGTGAGATGCTGAAGCACTAGGTGAATATGATGGGGAAGTGCTGGCCTCACCGCCTCTTGTCCGTCCACAGGCATCACCTCTGCTGTGCTTTGGCTTTGTTGACATTTGCGGAGGTGTTGGTGCTGTGTCGTCCGCTGCTGCCTCTTTGGGATTGGTCGTAGCCCCCTCTTTCTCGTCACTACGACATCGGGGCCCTGAGGTTGGGTGAGTGGATCATTTACATGATCGAGCAGAACCGTTTCCGATCTTTGTTGTGTGAGCCACCATGCACCACGTTTAGCCCTGCTGCTCACCCTTGCCTTCGCAGCTACAAGCAGCCTTATGGTTTCCGCCAGGAGAATCCTACGGTTTTGCATGGAAATTGTCTGGCGTTTCGCTGTCTGGTCTTCTTGCGTGTTGGTCGTCGACACAGTAGGCCGTAGGTTCGACAACCTCGTAGGTCAAAGATGGCGTGGCTGAAAGAGTGGATTTCTCTGATCAAACAGGGCCTTTTTGAAGAAGCCGTCATAGCCGCCTCCTAATGTGCATCCCCCGACCAGAGGGAGATCAGGTTTCTTCTGTATGGGATTTTTTGCTTCCGAGGTAGAGGCCCACTGCATTCGGGACCACCCCCATGTTCGCATCCAGGGGGGCTTGACAAGGAAATCTGCAATGTATACCCCTGAGCTTGGAATGCACTTGGCTGTGGCCTTCTGGAAAGCCCTCCGTGTCGCCGAAGCAGATCCTGATGTCTGTTGTCTTGTTGGAAGAAGCCGGCGCACATCAACGTTCTTGAGGTCTGTGCTGGCGTTGCCGTTGTTTCGGATGTTCTCACTCCGTGCCCCGCGCAGTCGTTTTGTCTCCCTGTTGGACCCATCGGTTGCCAGAGGAGTCCTTGCCAAGGGTCGCTCCACTTCCTGTATGCTACAGCCCTTGCTTAAGCGTGCTGCCGTCCTCCAGGTCTGCTTTGACTTGTATCCTGTTTGGCCTTTTTGCCTTACCCGTCTGAACACCGCGGGCGATCCAACACGTCACTTGGCTGTCCGTGAAAGTGCAGCAAGGTCAATCCTTGGACTTGAAGGGATTGATTTTCCTGGTCTACATCGCACTGGCCTCCGTCGGTTTTCTGCAAATTGGGTGCGTCTTTTATCCTGGTGACTGCGTGCGGTGGGGCTGATGCAACTTCGACCAAGAATGGATTTCCTCAGCCTTGGGTCATGGGTGTCCTTGCTTTCATTTCTGGTCTTCTGCAAAGCCTCTTGAAGTCCACTCTTTGGCTCATCGGTGTCTGGATTGCCTGGGACTGTCTGCGGCGTTCTTTCCGTCTTTGCTGCAGCCTCCCATCTTCGTGTTGCCTTCCGGCCCGTTGGACTTCTGTCTCTTGTCGTTGGCCCTGCACAGGACTTCCCCGGCGCGTTTGATTTTGGTAGGGGCGTGTTTGGCATGGAGCCTCTGTCTGCTGCCGAGAAGCGCCGTGCTCAGCTGAGGTCAGAGACGATTTTGACGGGAGATAGTGTCGTTTTGGATGCAGCAAGAAACAGTCCTTCATCAGTTTCAAGTCTGGTTGTGGCGAATTTCCCCTACTTTTTCTCCTTCAAGAACGCCCTCCAAATCCTGAGCGTATTTCTGACCTACTGGTGACATATGGCAAGGAGCTTTTCCAGTCAGGAAAGGCATATGGCATTTTTGCAGAAGCAATCAACTCGGTCGCTGCAGCGAGGCCACAGTTACGAAAGCAGTTAGTGACAGCATGGGATTACGCTTGCTGCTGGGTCGCAGATGAACCCTTTTCTCATAGGCCTGCTGCGCCAGCTTCAGTCTTGCTCGCAATCATGTCAACTGCCTTACTCTGGGGATGGCTTACTGAGGCCGCCATTTTGGGCCTCACCTGGGCAGGAATCCTCCGGATCGGGGAGATGCTCCAAGCTTGCCGACAAGACCTTGTACTCCCACAAGACTCAGCTCCAGGTGTCTCCTACGATATGCTGAAAATCAAGAAGCCAAAATCCAGGGGCAGACGTGCACGTCACCAGGCAGCACGAGTCGATCCAAGTGACATAGTGCTATTAATTGAGATCGCTTTTACAAAGAAGGGTGCTGACGAAAAGCTTTGGCTCCTGTCTGCTTCAACGCTTCGGAAGAGACTTGGGGACCTCCTCAAGGTCCTAAAACTGAAGGAAGCAGGCCTTGATGAGGTTAACCATTTTGACCTTTCATCCCTGCGACCTGGAGGAGCGAGTTGGCTGCTCTCTGTTTGTGAGGACAGCGAAATGGTCCGCAGACGTGGCAGGTGGGCCACCACCAAAACTATGGACATCTATTTGCAGGAAGTGCTGTATGCTACCTATGGCGAGCGTCCCTATCTCAGCAAAGAAAGCCGTTGAAATTTGTGCAGCTGGTTTCCTGGAACTTCTCCAGCATGCAAAATTTTTCAGTGATGCAGCGATACACTGCAATATGTTTTAGTACCTGCTGAGTACTAGGAGGTCGTCAGGAGATGCTGGGGGAGAATGGATGAATGCAGCTGCTTTTGCACCAAAAACAGGTGCCGCAGCGACAGACCGAAATCAGCAGCATGGGAAAATGAACGCCAACAACTTGACCTCAAGTTGCTCAGAGAGTTGATGTGCTTCCCCTCAAGAACCCATCCCGGATGCTCTCGGCCCACCCTTTTGGATTTTTCATTAAAGTATATATATATATATATTTGTATATATATATATATTCACACACACATATATATATATTTATGTATGTATGTATATCTATCTATATATATATATTTATGTGTATATACATATATTGATGTGTATATAAATATATATGCGCAATCTATCTATATATATATATGTGAATTTATGTATGTATATATCTATATCTATATATATAGATCTCTCTCTCTATATATATATATATGTATATATATATGTATATATATATACATACACATTTTTTAATATACAAAGATGCCCAATCGTGAAACTTGATGTAGAGGTCTGCAACAGGGCAAGTGGATGGGCCAGTGTTCACTGGTATGCTTGATGGTTAAGCAAGGGTGTGGGTGAGGTCGAATATTTACTTTTCTTCCCACATGCAAATTTGATTACTGTATGTTCATCTGATTGACGTTTATGCCATGTTCATGTTTACCGGAAACTCTACTGTTTGTCATCATGGATTTGATCTACTTACATGCAACAGAATCAATTACGTCCAAGCATCGTTTCCTGTGATCAGGTAGCTGGCAGCATCGGGCCCAACTTGCACCTGCAGCAGACCAATCCCTACTTGGACTCTGGGCTTGCAGCTACAGGACACTTATCTATCTCATGACAGACTCATGACAGATACTTCCTCTTTACACCAGACAATTCGTTGAAATGCAAACTTGATAAGACTTTCTTTGTCACCAGAGCAGTACGATGAGGTGAGCATGTTCATCACGAGCAAAACACAGAAAAAATATGTAAGAGTGGGACACATTTATTACAACCTGACATGTTTGGGAGAAATATCAAGTAACAGTAGGGTGGATACCAATGAATGCTTTTCATATTACTTCCCAAAAGTAGACTATGCAAGCCTTGAGAGGACATATGCAGATATGCTGCTCACTCTTGTGATGCATCTTCAGCCATATGAAAGGTTCGCATTCGCATAAGGGCTGTTATGGGCACCTGGTTTTGCATAGCGGTTTACTCAAACAGGTTCCAATTTAGAACCTTAGTATGCAAGTGACGGTATGGTTCATTGTGATTCGTTGTGTGCATAATCATGTGCGACTCCACATTTGGATCTGGTAGTGGTAGCAGGAAGAGCAGTAGGTCTTAAGTATTCGGAGGAGGCAGACGAGGAGCACAAGGAGGAGGAAAAGGTGCGGAAAGTTGTAACTTCAGCTCCCCTATCTGCGGGACAGACGGCAGTTGCGAATACCCAATGCCTTAAACAGAGGCACTTTGTCATGTGACTTACCTTGACGCGCGTTCGTAGCGTGGCAGATCACATTTGGATGAAACCATGTCATTAAATATGGCACAGTAGACACCAACAGCTAATTGTAACTGCATCAGATCAGATATTGTTTGGTGCAAAACACTGGTTGAAAATGTGGCTTGTGGTTGTTCCCGATATGCATTGAAGAAAACCTCATGGTGCATCACAGTATCCCAAAAAAGTAATATTGCCAATGAACACACGACCATGAGTTTCCCTTTTTCTCGCCATGAATGGGAAAAGAGAAATGAAGCGAACAACCATGTGCCAGATGTGGATGGTAGCTTTCATGGCCCAGAGAATTCGTCATCAGACCGGTGTTTTATCCAGCTCGGCATGTATTTTCGTGATGTTGTTTGTATTCGTGCCATTTTGCGCCTCTATTTGTGGCCATGTTCAGTTCTGACTGGTTGGCAATCCTTTGTGTGGACACACGTCTCAATCGTCTCAAGTTGGCATTTTGCCTTTCGACGTAGAGTTGTGACATGTTGTGATGTGAGCCTTTCCAAGGACATGTCCGATCTCCCCCTTGACATCGTCTCGGAGGTGCGGGGTTTGGCTGGGCGGCTTTGATGGATGATGCTCATTGATGTTCCATTTTCGATCCGTATTCGAGTCGCTTCGCGACGAGTACCGCCACCCAGAGAATTGGATAGACAGGAAATCTGCGGTCTCATGGAGCCGCGTGGAGAAGTTGCAGGGAATTGAAGAGAAGCAGGGGCAGAGTGGAACATAAAAGAAGGGAAAGAAGAGCAGCGAGCAGCGTTCGTGAAACGCGCCGATTTGGACCCAAACTTGGGCCTAAATTGCGCCGAACTCGGGCCAGTTGGCTCCAATTTGGGCCCAACTTGAGCACAACGGGGCCCAACACGTTTGGACACAAGTTGGGTTTAACATGCGCAACTCTGCCCTGTGTGGGGGCATCTGGCGCCGAAGTTGGGCCCAAGACAGGCCCAAATGTGGGGAACACGGCCCGGCACAACCCCATCGAAGCCAAAAAAAAGTTGGAAATAGCAGTTAAGAATGCGAGTCTTCAGCTTGTCATTGAGTCGGCAAAAGTGGCCCGCGTTGGGCCCACTAAGTTGCGCTACTTGGACGCAACTAGAACCCAAGTTGGCGCCAATGGGTCATGTTGAGCTGACAAATCGACCCAGAGGGGCCCCAAATTGAAGCCATGTGATGCACGTGGAGGTCCACGTTACGTTGAACATGGTGCAACGTGGGTGCCTTGGCGAGCTTCGCGCCAAGTTGAGTCCGGAGACACACCGTGGCCATGCCTCTCGTGTTGAGCCCAAGTGGAGGTCAACTTGGGCCGAAGTCCAACTAGGGGCCAAGCTGCGCCATCTTGGAGCCAAGTTGGGCCGAAGTTAGGGCCTTGTTCTTGTTGGCCGAAGTTGGCCCCAAGTGGAGCCGATGTTGCCGCCATGTCGGATCGAAACGGTGCATTTGGACGACGTTGTGCCGATATGCAAAATGTGCAAATGTGCAAATTACCACGGCCGGAACCGACTTTTGGAGGCTCGCCCGGGCGAACATGACACCTCCAGCTGAAGCTGCACCAGACTGGCAGATCGGTCCATACGTATCACGCGCTTCGGCGCCTTCGGTGCGGGCGGGTTTCTACATGGTCGTTGCTTGACCTTGTTGAACATGGGTTATAGGGATCTTCGTTGACTGGCCGAAACTTGGTGCAAACATGATTTTTATGATTGTAAAACCTTACACTTCGTTATCTGTTGCTCCTTAAAGATTCGCCATCACCAATGCCATGTCTTAGCGGACAAAGCATTATACATATATATACACATATACATATACATATACACACACACGTGGAGCAATGGATCCATTCACTGCAAAAACACATTCTCAGCCCACACCCACAACTAGGCATGCACCCATGCCATTCATTTTCAATGTCAACTATTTTGTTCTGATCGCGGCGCTGCGGCTAAGTCAAATCAAGTCAAGGTCGTGCCCAATCGAATGAGCTCGGCATTTGTCAACTCTTTCGCCCGTGGATATGGTGGTACCAACGTGTCGATGGTGAGCTACGCAGCCAAAGAAAGGAGTTCGTGACAGGCCGTGCTGGTTTGACTGATCTACATTGTCCAAAATTAGTTTTCAGTCCTTGTAGTGCAGGATTTGAATTTGGTCCTAGTGGGTTGGCATATGGGAAAACATCAAGTGTGCTTCTGGTTTGGAGATTGCCAGTATGAAAAGTCCGTAATTCGGAAATTAGTATTTTGTGCTTTTTGGTGGTTCGCAGTGACACTCCCTCAGCCAAGTACGTTTATGTTGAAAATTAATAACTAATGGAAAGTGTGGCTTCTTTCCATGGCTCTTGAAACTCTGTACATTTACATATCAAGAGTGAAACCTTCTCAGCCGTTGGCGGCAGATACATTCAAGAACAACCTGATGAGTTGTTTGACATCCTATGCATGTTAGCTGATTTTGTTCGCCTCGCAGTATTGGCAAGGTCTTGCCGGGCCTTGTCAGATCAGCTGCTTGCTGAGCAATGCTGCGGAAGGTTACTTAGGATGCTGATCTTCCAGCGTGAAAGACCTGGTCACAGACAGTGGCAGTGTTATTTCCGCTTCCGGGTTTCACAGATTCTGAC